TGGACGTCAGTGTCGTCCTGTGTGGCCGACTGCCTCGCAGTCACAGATGAACCGGAGTAACTGTAGAAGTGATACTGCAATTACACTTTCATGTGACCAAACGTGAGCCTATAAACAGAACGATAACAAAAACAGCTACATTCGTTGGAATGAAATCAGACTCGTCTCAGGTTCAAGCTCAGTCTTGCCTGATGTTTCCCTAAATCCCTGTACCTGCACAAACAGATTCCCTGAGTCAGCGTTTATTTATCACTATATTTATCACTCTTTGTCACACTCATGACAAGTACTACAAAGTACAGCCCACAGATTGTGTTCTCTGTTCACCAGAGCCTTCTTCTGTTTCAGTAAGGAAGAGCAGGGACTGAGTCACAGGGATGACGCGTCGTGTTGCTGCTAAACACCACAGTGTATAATTAAGCACATGTTAAGGCAGTGTGTGGGATTCACACAGCAGAACTGACTGAGGTTTTGTGACGTCCTTTTTTAAGTAATGTTTCTGTAAAGTATTTGTGATAAAGACGTGATTATTCTCCAACAACATTTTTAATCAACAACATCTTTAATCTGTTGCCATGGTGAAACAGGCTCTGCATCCTAAAGTGGGTTTTCTTATTAGGAAGTTATCACAGGAGGGAGATCTAATCTGGTCCTAGATCAGGCCGGTGATTGGGTGTGCGGCCTTGCCTTGCTTAAGGTCAGTGCCCGAGGCTCCTGATGGACTGCTATTGATTGCTGGAAGAACGTGGCGATACAGTTGCAGTCGCTCAGCATTGATTTTCTGCAAGTGCAGTAGTGGAGAGCAGGCAGAATGAGAGAGCAGGAGCAGGGGGAGCTGCCAGGTTATCTTCTCAAATATCCGGAAGTCTTTTTTTCTTCTGTGTGGCACTGACCTTCCCTGAGTCCAGGAGATATATCTATTTAGACATTAGCTCAGCAGCTTGTTCAGCCGCTTCAGCAGTGTTTTCCCCGCATGTCCAACAATACACTTAACCAATCAGAAAACCCTAGGTCAGCGCTGTCGATAACTAACACAAGCAGTTTGTTTTCCCCTCGAACTCCACATTTCCTACCGAGTTCAAGAACGAATGGTCTGGGATCTGTCGGTTCCACTCACTCGCTGTAATAAATCATACGGCTCCGTGCTTGTTTGGAGTTTAAATATTAATAGCTTTCCATATCTTCTGTTTCTACTCGGTGGATTGTGTGGTATATGTGAACTCGCAAGGACTTGAAACTTGTTTGAGAGGGATCATCAATCACGGGTAAGAAGCCAGGGTGCTGACAGGTGAAGCTTCACAATTGGCTGCAAAGTGGGATCACTTTACAGAAGAATACTGTTTCAAAAAAGGAAAGGGCTTATTAATCATCAACCTTATAAAGGTTAAATCTGGTGTTGGATTTTCACTTGTATTGTTAATATGAGTTCTATATAATACTGACTCTATATATACTGTATACCTGTGTTATGTGGGTTTAGAGGAGGATAACCTTAATTTAATGGGAAAAAGTCTATTAAGTCAAAATGTGCAAATAAAGGTGACTTTTATACTGTCTCTAATTTGATATTAAACTGTGTAAAATATTTAATTAATTCAGCTTTCATTACTGAACCACTTTAAAAACATCTACATTTTATATATCGATATTGTTACAAATGCCATTTGTTCAACATTGCTGTCGACGACTGTAACTTTTTTCCATCGGTGCAAATCCCCAGTCGGGGAGGAAATCCATATGAGTTATACAAAGAAAAATCCAACATGTACAACTATCACAACAAAATAAAAAACCACCCAGTGATTTACAGCCCATGGCCTCACATGTGATTTTTTTTTTTATGGTGATAAATGACTTGTCTTGAACAACATTCTAAGGCTTTAATTGATTGATTAAAAAACACAGGCAGTGTCAGGGGGAAAAATCTATTCATAAATCTCCAGTCTGGTATGCTTTGGTAAGTGGTCAGCAGTAATGAAAAGCTGTGGTGTAATCTTTAAGAGAAAACTGCTAAGACGTGCAGAAACACCAAATCCTTTTAGCTGAATTACAAAACAAAGACTCATATTTATTGTAGACTCAAAAGAGTTTTTTTTTTTTCTGTATTTAATTCACCCTGTATGAATTTTAATTAGTACTTCAAACACTTGAGAGCTGATTGGCCCGAAGAGAAGGGCTTCTCTTTGATCAGGTGTCATTGCTCATATCTTTCCTCTCTGCAGTTTCTCCCTTCGGCCATCTTCCCTCTAATTGGCTCAGTGTCACTCACATGAAAGGATATGAGATATACATACTGTATAGGCTCCAGGGTTGAGGGGGCCATTTTGAAGACTGTCAGGGTTAGACCCTGGACATAACGGCACATGTGTTAGCTTGATATTAGCAAAGAAAATTAAACACGTTTGGAGACGTACCTGCCATGGAATCTTCTGTTTTCATACTGGGAATATTTCCTGACAATAGTAAATCTACACTGTTCACAGTTGTGCTCTGCAATAACTACAATTGACTTGCAAGAATTGCACCAACAGTTACTGAATGGAACACCCTTGAGCAATTTTGGATAATATCTATATAATGTCTAATGTATAATGTTTTTGCAAAAATATATGACTTTTTAAGCAGAAATAGGACAATATGTAGCATCACCACTAGGTGTTGTAAATTTCTAATCGGTGTATCTTTAAGTATTCAGCAAAGTTCTTGTTAACTAAACAAGAAGAGTTATTGTCCTTGAAAAACAGCTTGTTTTTATTACCAGAGATGACTCAGACATCTAATGGAACAGGATATACTTGGTCCCTTCAGCTGATTGTTGACGGTGAACTTCTGTCATGCTTTCAGGGTAATAAAAGTCTGTTTTGTCTCCTCAGGTAGACTCAGGCCTTGTTTGTTGATGCTTTTTATAGAACTGTTTCCCTCCGTTCTACCTGACCCCTCTCCTTCCTTTGTTCTCCCTGGGCTCTGAGCTGTGTGTTAATGTAGTGAAGTGCTCTGTCGGTCAATGAGCTTGTATTAACACCTGACTCCAAGCCCTGGCTGCTGTTTGTTCCTCTGTGTGGGGTCCCCCGGGGCCTCCCCAGACAGGGGCAACAGAGCTCATGATCAATAACATTCTAGAAGGATGTTGGAGGAAGGTTGTGTGGGGGATGGAGGACTACTTTATAAACATTTAATGTGTTTAGAACGAGAGTAAGTCAGAAAGATCAGTGTTAAATGAAAAAACATTTTTATGATACATTTTTTATGATAAATATATTTTCCAAAATATCCTCCACTTAAGTCTTGAAACTTCCACAAGTGCTGTTTCCGTCAGAGAAATCTATCAAAAGATGTGCATCAACTAGGGACTGAAATCCACTTTTCAGTTTTAGAAAACCAAAATAAATAAATGGAGCTAAGTCAAAGCAGTTGCAAAGCACCAACAATTCTATTGTTTGTTTTTTTTAAGGGTTGAAAAACCTGATTAAATAAAACATAACACAGCTCAACAGCTGACAAAGATATAATGATAAAACTTCAAAGCTGTTGGAGAGAGCTGTCCGAACATGTTTTAGTTTTCACAAATATATTTAAATATTGAAACAGTCTACGAGAGTGAGTTTTCTGTGTATCTTTATTATAGATTAAATTAACTGTATTCATTTAAGACTCATCCATATGGGGGTCATGATAGGGTACATTCATCTTTGTTGTTTGAATAGAAACATCGTCTGCATCTGTAATCTGAAACTGTACAGATTATTGTTAATGACGTGACTGGTCTACCACTGATTCAAAGATGTTTTTCCCTTTAGTAGCCAATACTTTGTGAAACCTAGGCCTATTTAGTTGAACACAGCATTGGCATATTCAAAGGGATTTAATAAAGATACAGACAATGTTCTTTTTCAAAGTCAGTTTTTTGTTGTTGTTAGTTCTTCTGCTATCTGCTGCCACCCAGTGGAAGAGTATTTAGTTGTTCACTGTAACGGACAAAAAAGGCAATTTTCAGTAAATAGGTGATTGTTTTCAGACAAATTAAAAGTAAAATTGGGAAAACTTGATTATCTCTCACAGCACACTAATGTGCCTCGGTTGGGAATCACTGGACTCCACGCTGTGTGGTTGAGGAAAGAAGTTTGAATAAAGTTTTTAATAGCAACACCATCAAGATGTATATTACTAATTATTACATTACTAAATGACTAAAACGCACCAACTCTGTGAAGCTAGATCTTGAGTTATAGTTTTTTATAATTTCTTGATATTTATGCTTACTATCAATCCCGTCATTTGGATGTCACAAATTAAAAGGGGTTTGAAACATAAACATGTACCTGCTGTTATTTGTTTTGTTTTTTTGGCACAGCAATATACTGCAAAAAAAAAAACATTTTTGTTCTTTAATCATGATGATGTATGAATAATTGCAATCGGAATTAATCACAATTACATTATGATTAACCATGATTAATCCACAGCTCCCTAACCTTTGATATTAATTAGATTAAAAACTTGAATTGTACAACAACACTATAAGATATAGTATATAAGAATAGCATCAAGTGATACTGTATATACCATCATCTCCTAAAGTCATTTTTACGGATCTTATTTTAAAGCCTGCAGCTCCAAAGTCTCCTGTGCATTAGCTCGCTCGTCCTTCTGCCTCCTTGCTTTTGAGCTTCGATCTTCCTCTCACTCTGGCTTCACTCTCAGTCTAATGTCTGATAGTGCTTAAAGTGCATTTAGGAATTATCTGTGGTTTACCCTCCCTAGATCAGCTTCAAACACACAATAATATCTGCCACTCTGTTTGCATCGATTCCACTTCACCTCCCTCTCTGTTTCTCTCTTCCCCTCCCTCTCTGTTTCTCTCTTCCCCTCCCTCTCTGTTTCTCTCTTCCCCTCCCTCTCTGTTTCTCTCTTCCCCTCCCTCTCTGTTTCTCTCTTCCCCTCCCTCTCTGTTTCTCTCTTCCCCTCCCTCTCTGTTTCTCTCTTCCCCTCCCTCTCCCCAGGCTCTGGTCATGGCCGAGGTGAACGGCCCAGGGCCGGAGGTGCCGGAGCCACAGATTGCCATGTACTGTGGACGACAGCTCCTGCATATGAACCTACAGACTGGACAGTGGGAACCAGACCCTCAGGGCCGACAGGGCTGCTTCAAAGAGCCCAGTGAAATCCTGTCCTACTGTCAGGAGGTAGTAGGCTTTTATCAACATCAGTCTGGATCAATATGTCCGGAGAGCAGCAACTTCAAAATCCTAACTTTAATGGTTAAAGTAAATAAAAAAAGAATACAAAGGGAAATCAACAAAGCTAATGGACAATATGTAAAATTTAATTATATTTCACTTAATCTGTTTGTCCAGCTCTGCTGACTCTCAACGGTAACCAGAAGGTTTATCTTTCTATATCTGTATGTCTGGAGATATGGTCTCAAATATGGTCATTTCAAAATGGGATTTGTCCATTCACATCATTCACACATCTGTTTTTGCGTCTCTCTTTTCTCTGCATGTCCTCCGTCTGTACAGGTGTACCCGACACTTTCAATCTCTCACATAGAGGAGTCAAAAAGACCCATCACCATCCGTGCCTGGTGCAAGAAAAGTTGGGGACACTGCCAGACACATCCATATATAGTCCTCCCCTACCGCTGTCTGGGTAAGAACAAGCTACTGACTTTCCCTGAAATGTTTCAAGTCAAAAAGGAGAATAAGGGCTACATACTCCACCACAAGGCTAAAAATATGTACATTTTCACAAGGTGAAAAGAACGAGAACAAAGGTCTTTCTGGCACATTTCATATTTTTCGAGAAATTTTTCAGTGCCGAAATCCTGGGTAGTCTGAATAGGACCCTCCCACTACAACGCACCTTACATTCACTAAGCATTGTAGGAATCTGAGAAAAAACAACGATGCAGCGTCAGCACAGAGAAATTGGTAGAGATGGGAGTTTTCGTGTTTATGGAGGAGGCGGGGATTATATCTTTATTACATTTTGCGAATTAAGGAAACATATAGCCAGTGAAACACAACAAGAGACACCACATGAGACAAAAGGTAATCTCAGATGAAATGTCAGGAAAAAAGCTGGAAGAATTACGAAGTGGATATGACAAATAATCATTTTGTAAAAAGTATGTATAACAAGTATGTATGTATATATAACACCAATTTACTAAACACTAAAAAAGATCCTAAGGAAAGTAATTTAAATGTATTTATATTTTCAAAATTAAATATCTCTCTCTATATATAACACCAATTTGTGGTGGTTTTATTCATATATTTCTTCTCTTCATCCACACCTCTACACATTTGGTAACAGACTTGTTAGATACTGTTATTCTGCAACAAGCCACTAGGGGTGAATATTGGACAACAAAAGATGAGTGCAGACACCTACTAGAAATGTGTTGGAGTCGTGAAACTGCTTTAATGAAACTGCTGGAGAAATGATTTTATGATTTGTGTCACACTGGGGGTGTAAAAATCTCTCCTCGTGTTCCTGTGAGCTGTGATTTTGCAGTGTGACTGGCAGAATTTTGAATAAGCAAAGAAACTTGTGTATAATGAATGTTTAAATTTAATCTAGTTGGTAATTATTGTATTGGAATTTAACAGAGACTTAATTCTTTTGTTATCACTAATCTAAACTACCTGTCATTGTTTTATTTTGTAAATTGTGGAGAAACTGAACAACCTCGCTCTCGTATTTTCTGTCTTATGGCAGAGGGCGAGTACGTAAGCGAGGCCCTGCTGGTTCCTGACCGATGCCGCTTCCTTCACCAGGAGCAGATGGATGCTTGTGAGAGTTATGTGTACTGGCACAACATAGCTAAAGAGGTGAGGAAACTGCCGTCTGCTGTGTCAGTAACTGGTCAATGACGACTGGATAATTCACAGGCAGAGGGAACCCTGTATTACAGTGGTTTTTTTTAAATATCTGTGTGTTTTTTTTTTTTACTTCTCTGTTTGCATGAATGCACTGCAGAGAATCTGGAGCTCCACAGCTATGGCATGCTGCTGCCCTGTGGCGACCACTTCCGCGGTGTGGAGTATGTGTGCTGCCCAGGTCGAGGGAGCCCCAGCAGTAAAGTAGACACAGAGGAGAAAGAAGTCCCTGCTGTAGTTCAGACATTTACTTCCCAGACCAGTGGAAAAGACAATTCTTTGTATGTTCCCCGGATGTTCCGCTTGATCAAATTGACCGGCCTTGAATAGGAGTGAGTCACCAAAGTAATGACTCTCCACGCTTTTTCTACACAGAACTAAAGTCGTGGCAACAACTCCCAGCCCCTCTCCTGACACAGACATTGATGAGGCTGACATGGAGGAAGATGATGTAGTGGAAGTAGTGGAACAAGAGGAAGAAGAGGAGGAAGACGATGGAGTAGCTGATGAAGACGAAGCAGACGAGGATGAGGAGGAAGAGGAGGCAATAGCTGTGAAAGATCCAGAAGAGTATGAATACCCCATTGATTCAGGTCCGTACCAGACCCCAGACTATTTGGACTCTTTTGACTATGAGAAAAGCCACAAACCAACAACCTCATCTCCTCTGATCAAGGGAGAGAGCTGTGAGTGTTCCTTTATTTCCCTGTCATCCCTGCAGTGTTTTTACATAGTAAACTATTAAACACATCCAGTAGCAAACAAAACGAAGGTCAGATAAAAATAATGAGACAACTGGTCATGTGGCAGAAGGAGAGAAAGCCAATCCTGAAACTATAAGCTTTAACCATTTCAGTCAGGTATCAAACACAGAATTTGATTTAGCCTCCATCTTGTCAGGACATTTGAAGAGACGCAGTAGTCTAAAAAAAGGTTGTTTTTTTTTAGTTTGGTGACTTGAGACACTTCTGAACCATAGGTACAGCTTGGTGCCTTTGAATAATAGATGATAATATGTACTGTTTAAATACTGCATGCTCACCGAGATGCAGTAGTGGAGCACCATGGTTGCCTGAGAGACTTTAAATATCAGTCTAAAAGACAAGAATACAGTGTTATACTATTTATTATATTTTAACAATGTTTGTTTTGTGACTATTTTATACATGCTGTGATGCCGATGATGTGGGTCACACTTTGGTCCAAAACATAAAGTCAAGCTACTGTTCTGTTTAAAACCAATAATGATTAGAATTTTAAATTATGTAACGTTGTTATAAAAAAGGTCAGCGTTTTGATTTCGTAACCTTCCTCACCTCTCATGACATGCTAGGGTCAGTTCAATACAATTCACACATGTTTCCATAATCCCTTGACATTTGGTTTTTGCTCTCAATCCATTTTCAATCAAAACTGTATTAGGTAAAGTATGTAAGGCACAAGAATAAAATAATAGTGTAGCCTTTCGGTAACATTCTTATATTTTTTAATAATTCTTTAGAATCTGATTGAATCAGCTAACACAACCAAGTAATTATTTCTCTGGTTGGTTATACAACACAATGTAAATTTTCCCTCCTTCTGTTGTGGGATATAAAATGACTGTTTAAACCCTTTTTTCTCTCTCTCATTTTCCACTGTAGCATTTTTAAATGTCTTTTTGTTTACAACACCAACATCCTCTGTTTTCTGCTTTCAACCAGTAACTACAACCCGGCCCACTGATGGTGTTGATGTTTATTTTGAGAAGCCAGTAGATGACACTGAGCATGCCAACTTCCTCCGTGCCAAAACGGACCTGGAGGAGCGCAGAATGAAGCGCATCAATGAGGTGAATTTGACAGGCACACAAGCAGGGTCATGGGTCAATCTTTATCTAACAGGCAGTTAGTTAGCTTAGCACATTTTTCTGCCATGTGTTCTGAAAGAACATGAAAGTGATGCTCGTACAAATTAATAATAGCAAAAAAATTGGGAATAAATAAAATGTTTACATTATAAACTGAAAATAGTAATGGCCAGCATGAACATCATATTTATTAATATACTCAAGTTTATTACCTTGACTTGCATCAAGGTATACATCTGAAGTTGCAGCAAGATATTCTAAAGCACTATTTTTGTTCATCTAACTCGGAAGTGCTTTTTTTAATTTTTTATTTAGCGTTTATCTCACTGTGCATCTGAGTGTTTGCATGCATGCAGCCTGTCACAACAGTTTCTGTCCAACTTTTTTTGGAGACCACAGTCACCTACTACAAAAATAATGTTGCTGGCAGGCCACTTTAATTTTCACCCAATCTTTACCAGTGGTTTTACATGTCCTGACCTGTCTCAGAAACATTTACCAGTAGATAACATTATTTATTCATTTTACAACATATTGCATCATTGGTGCGAGATGTTGCCTGTAACAACATGTTCTGTTTTGTAAAGCAATTTCATAATCGTTGCGGTGAGCTTGAAAACAACACTGAAATGCTATGCTTGCGCTAATCACAGAAAATAATAAGTTTTGGTACTGTATATAAAACGTACATTTTTAAACCTAAAAGAACAGAGTTTCCACCTGCTAGAACATGCAAGAACAGAAAAACAATACAGACAGACGGACGGCTGCACCCCTGCAGCTGAAAATGCCATCATATACCTCTAGTAGTCTGTTAGAATTATGCGTAGTCCACATTCCTTGAGTGTGAAAATTTCTAAGTTTCTAACTGATTGTGTGTCTAACTGTCAGATCATGAAGGAATGGGCAGAAGCTGACAACGAGTCAAAGAATCTACCAAAATCAGAAAGACAAGCCCTGAATGAGGTGAATTTGTCATTCCTGCCTCACTTTGTCATTGAAACTTGGGAATTTGTAAAAAAAAAAATTAACAGCATCCTTGCACCTGCTTTACTACCTTTCCTCCACCAGCACTTTCAGTCAGTGCTGCAGACACTAGAGGAGCAGGTCGCAGGTGAGAGGCAGAGGCTGGTGGAGACTCATCTCGCCAGAGTGCAGGCTATTCTCAACAACAACCGCCGCTTGACTCTTGAGAACTACTTGACTGCTGTGAAGTCTGACCCCCCTCAGGTCAGCACATACAGTAAATGATACGACTACGAGATGAATTTTCCTGAGACAGTTAGACAGTTCTTCGCCTTTGTTTTCTAGCCGGAGCGCGTGCTGCAGGCACTGAAGCGATATCTGGCTGTAGAGCAGAAGGACCACAGACACACACTCAGGCACTACCAGCACATTGTAACTGTTGACCCCCAGAAAGCAGAGCAGATGAAGTTCCAGGTGAGTGTTTGAAATGCTTTTTGCACAGTTGCTGTGCTTTTGTGGTGTGGAAAGCTCCTTTCTATTGACTGTGAACCATTTAGTGCTGAAGAGTTAGTATGACCTAAAGAGAAGTTAGAAAGAGCTTAACTCACGGAGGTAAAACAGCTACTAGTATATGCTGACATTTAAGATACCAGGACTTAAGGACTCAAGGTTCTTCATTGTCATTGCAACCCATGTTAGACATGGATGAACGAAATTAGTTTCCCTGGTCCCGGATCGAGTACAAGTGACAGAGGGGAAGAGTTCGGCATAGTGCAGCGAAGAAGAGTAAGTGACGACTGTGCAAGAGTGAAAGACAAGAACAAGAAAAACAACACTTGCCAGAGCAACATATGGGGGGGACAATAGTTGCGAAACAATGTACAGGCCACCACATATTTTCTGTTTGTGTGGTGGTTGTGGGGGGAGGGGTGTTGGCAGAGTCAATGTGGGGAAGGGGGGGGGTGTTACAGGGGTCCACTGGTGTTCAACAGTCTCACAGCTTCAGGGAAGCTACCAGATACCAGGGCAACACAACCGACAGAATCTTTGGTATGATTACCAGGTCTACACACATCTCCATGTGATTGAGGAAAGGATGAACCAGAGTCTCGCACTGCTGTACAGAGATCCTGCTTTGGCTGAGGAGCTGCACGATGACATCCGTAAGATGAACGCGCAGTGATCATTTCAAAAGTGTAATGTCTGGGTATCGATGACTCAGCTTGGTCTCTTCTAACGTACGACCTGCAGAGGAGTTGGTGAAGGCGGAACGAGGAGACATCAGTGAGCTCATGACCACCTCCTTCTCCGAGACTCGCACTACAGAGGAGCTCCTGCCTGCTGAGAGTGAGGAGGAGAAGGATGACGAGGAGGAAGAAGAGAGAGTTTTCCAGAACAGGCCTTATCCTCCACGCATCGGTACACCCCCGCACATCACATATACAAACAAGCATACAGCAGTATTTTATGGTTTATAAGCTCCTTAATAGTGTGAATTGCTATTTATTCCAGCATCTTCCAAAGGTTGTGTAAAAAAGTCCAGATATATTTATTTTTTCTAAAAAATAAAAACACCTCCTCCTATAAAATATTGTCTGTGCAGCTTTAAACTGGTGGCATCAGTCCAGCGACCAATAAGGTTGGGCTATGACAGGGTGAAATATCAACCCTCCAAAAGTAAATCTGAGAGCAGCCACAACAGATTTGAAACCACCCTTTATGTTCTCATCAACTTCACGATACATCTCCAGTGAGGTATAGTTTAAAGTATCCAGACATAAGTACATGCAATAGATCATACTGCCAAAAATCATCATCCTTAACAGAACACTGCACAACTTTGGTCTCATTCATTTATGATTGTATTTTTGTCAACCGTGCTCCTGTAAGCTTGCGACTTTATTCTCATACACCTACAACTCTCATTTCTCATAATGTTACGACTTGGTTTAAGACTCTAATCTTGTCATTTTCATACCAGACAAATAATAAAAAATGGATACTTCATTTTTTACTTCTGTAACATTCATCATTTAAAAAAAATTTAAAAAACTGTGACAGTATTTTTTTTTTTACTGAGGACGGGTGTTAGATGTGCATATCATAATTTTAATATTTTAATGCATGTGCATATTTTAAATGACATCAGATTCAAAGTCTTTTCTTTTCTTGTTGACTGCACACGAAAGCCTTGAAAACGTGTCTACATATTAACCTTCTGCACTTTTTAACTGTTTGTCTCACCAGAGCCACAGTCTAATAAGAAAGGTAAGGCAGGTCTTAATCATCGGTTACACATTCGTTTTCTAATTACATTCTGTTAATATTTTGTTATTGCTTACAACATTTTTTGACTCCCTTAACAGTGTATTCAGCTGATGAATACGATTATAACACATCTGAGAGGGGACCAACCTATGAATATGAGGAAAAGGTAAAAAAGAATCTTGCATAGTTAATGCATTTGTTATTACAAAGATTAAGATAAATGTATGCAGCATTACATCATATTTCACTTAAATCCTCTCAACTCATCCACGGTGTCCCCTGTTTTTATTTTATTGAAAACATTTCAAGTTGGAAATTGTATTCAATCTATTCTTATTCTTATTTACTCATACATTAATCCAACTGAACAGCGTCAAAGTAAATGGGGCTTGATAAATATCGTCATTTTGATTTCCATTTCCTTAGATCAACACCTCAGCAGAACTTAAGCAGGTCATCAACAAGCCTCCTGAGATTGCGCGAGATGAACTGGTAAGGGCTGAAAGTAAACATGTTGTTTGCTTGAAGAACTCAATGTTAAATCAAAATAACAAAAGATAAGACTTTATTCATCCCACACCGGGGAAATTAAGTAAAAAAGGTTTCATACCGAAATATAAAATTCATTAATTTCGTTCTTCTTTTCATTTCTTCTCCACAGCAGCCTGATGCCTTGGAGACATTTAACCGTGGTGCCATGGTAGGCTTACTGGTGGTGGCTGTGGCAATCGCTATGGTGATGGTAATCAGCCTGCTGCTAGTGCGCAGGAAGCCCTACGGCACCATCAGCCATGGCATCGTAGAGGTACGACTCAAGACCTACTTAATAATGGGGGGGGGGGGACATGACAGAAAATAATTGAGAACCACTGACCTAGAGCGTAGGAGGTAGCCTTCAGGTATCAATAAAAATAAAAATTAAAAGTTTTGAGACGTAATAATTTTGTAAACATTTAGGTTATTGTTTGTTTGTTTTTTATCGCTAGCTACCATCTGACAAAAGATTACCAATAATCACAAGAAGTGGCTGACTAAGGACTTTAGTTTCTATGTGGATTTTACAGTACTGAGATTGCAAAATAACAGCAACTTACATCTGATAATGATTCCTCCACAACTACCGTGATCTCTTACCAGCAGAGTGACACGCAGAAAAACTAAAGTTACTTTAAAAGTGATCAAGTATTCTTAAATAGTTGCCATTTGATGAGAGTTTGGTTAATTTTTTTTTTTTTTGGCATTTTACTTTGACGAGAGAGAGAAAGTAGCATAAACAGGAAATGAGTGAAGGGGAGAGAGCAGAACCTTGTAGAAACTATACCAGGAATCAAAAGTTATTGGACATACGCACACACTACTCAGTTTGTAAATTGAGATTTTTATCTATTCCACGCACATGTGGTTATCTGCCTTAACACCCACATACTATTCAAAGAGACTCTCTAAGCTCGATAGACTAGAGCTCCTTGAGTGAGCGATCCCCTGACGTCAGTAGACTACTGTCATTACTCCTCACTCTGTCACTTGTAAAAGTGACCTTTTAAATGCATATTTGCACACCCTGGTCTTTAACCGTATTAGTCAGTTCACTGCTACCACATGGAATAAACAAGTATGTGCACTAGTCGGTGTTGGGTTTTTTTTTACTTTTGTCTCCTGCTACGAAATGTGTCACTATTTGACACCTTTATGTCAGTGAGTTTGAAATATAATGGGGGAAACGGGAGGGAAGTATACATTTTTGTACCATCAATTACATAAGCAGTATCACCTCATTTTATCCTTTTACTTCTAGCAAATGTGTATCTTTATATTAAGGCTGAAAGTTATTACAGTTTTAAGTGTGATTTATTACAGGGTAGATGCATAAACATAAATCGGTGCCTGATGAGAAATATTAAAATATAAAAATATAAAACATAAGAATGTACTTTACTGTTTTATGTTAGATACTATGTTTATTGCGCAGGGACAGTGTGCTTGTTTAAAACCTTGTCTGTGTAATCATTTCTGCCCCTGTGTGTCTCGCAGCAGGTTGACCCCATGCTAACGCCAGAGGAGCGACAGCTTAACAAGATGCAAAACCATGGCTATGAAAATCCTACCTACAAATTCTTTGAACAGATGAACTGAAACACTGGAGCCACCAACAAGTCATGCCTGACCACTTTTCCAGTTTCATCCCAACTGTCCATCCCATCCTGAAGACAACAGTGGTAGACTTACTTTGACTGATTTAAGATTTGTGTGAAAGTGTGTGATACATCCGACACGTTTTGTAAATGACCAACAGCAACCTATTATTAACAGAATGTGAATAATGACATGTGACGCAAATTCCCTTCACCTATTGTAATCCTCTGGGCTGCACACCATTTCATACCCCTGAATACTTTTACGTCACAGGCAGAAAACAACATCCCAGTGGCATGACTTGATCTATTGCTCTGTACTAGACACTGAAGTTGTATGATGCGTTATGCATTGTAGTGTTTCTTTTCTTCAGCAGTGGTCTATTTGTTCAACTTGTACCAGAGGTAGATGCATATAATGTTTCCGTGTAGAAGAGTGTGAGTGTTGGCCTTGTGTTTTTATTATCTTTAAAATTGTGTAACTTTTAAATCCCACTCAAATATAAAGAGGCACTTAGCTAAAGCTAACTGTTGACAAGCCCTTACCTCCAGGAGGGAATTGGATCATAACCTTAATAATGGCCAGGATAAAGAGGTGTTTGCTTTGAATGAGTGTTGTATTAAGGCTTCAGAGTAAAAAGGCTACACTAGCCAGTACAGGATTGCGTGCTGGTGGTATAAAAAAAAAACCCAATCTCTTAATTTTGAGAGTACTCCCTATTTATTTCAATTATTTGGCAAAATTGACCAAATAACCTATTCAGCAAAATAAGTCAGTAAATGGGATTATTTTCCTCGTACTGCTACTCTAACAGCTGTAAATTAGAATAACCAGAGATCTGTTATTTTATTCTCAAAGCATGGAAACTTGGTGTATGATGCTGCTGTATTTATTTGTGTTGTTCCTGTCACTGCTTTTAAAAAGTTTGGGAATGTCTCCGTTCAGAATGGACACTGTAAATAACGTTAAGAAATACATATGACTAGATGTAGACATTTATATGATTAATTTGCATTGATGTCACGGAAAAATACATTGAAAAAAAATCGTACATTGTGCTGTTACCAGAAGGAGAAACATTTTCCTAACATGGCTGATTGAAAACGGACTGTTGTAAAAACCAGCACAAGACAACGACACAGTTTCTTGTTTCTGAATGTATTTAAGGTAGACGTTGAGATTCCATCTTTCTTTCAGTAATGCATCATTTCCCTTAGTACAAATTTTAAAAAGTAAAGTTTCTTGTTACTAACAGATGCCCAATGCCCTTGTCATTACCTAATGTAGCAGACCTTTCATTTTTAGTAATTAGAGTCTTAGAGCCATAGACAGCGTATAAGAAGTGGACATACCCATTACTGAACTGACTCCCATCCAGTGACAGTTGGTGGTAAAATGAGGCTACCTTTTAACTCGATTTATGCTGTCGACCAACATGTCATTTGGGTGTGTAATGATTTAATCATGTATTGATATATTTGTCTAGAAGTCTGTTTAGCAAAAAGTAGAAAATAAAGCATAATGGGAGATTGGCTCACATTCAACCAGGCTTCTCTTGGACATTTTTGTTCTGTATCAGCTAAGGTGTTCCATTTCTTGTTGAAATTATTTTTCTATTATTCTAAAAAATTGGATCATAATGTATAAAATTAATCTCATATTGCATTGGACACCCCATACTCACAATCTTGGCCATTAAGATTTGACATCTTAAATAACGTAGCTCAATTTATCTGGTCTTCCAGTCTTCATGGAATATGTCCGGTTCTTATATACAGCCTATTTTTAAGCCGAGCTTAGGTTCGTTACGATAACAGCAGAGAACTAACTGGCCACAGTAGCGACATTTTGGTGTGTTTTACTAAATGCCACACACACTAAGGTACCTGAGAGTTAAACAGTATAGCAGCCGAGTTTGAATATTTTGAATCTAAAAGATTAAATGTTGGTATTCACTTATATTTTAAGTTATTAAAAAAAAAAATTTTAAAAAAGCATTTCAGCGAATAACTCATTTGTCATTCGTCATATTTAGTCACCATAGTCATAGTCATCGATAGGTAAGCAAAGAGGGGATTGCCCTCTAAGTGTCTAATTACCGTATTGTGTGAAATTTTCTTTTGCGTCAATCAGATAGTCTAGGTTAAAAATATAATTTTTTTCATTTTCTTTTTAAAGATTGTTGCAGGGGGTATTATTTTGTTTTATCGTAAATTTTGCTTTGACATATGTTGTTTGTTTTTCTATCGTAAAATTTTGCTTTGACATATGTTGTTTGTTTTATTAATACGAATCTTCACTATTCTTCACTAGGCAGGTGGATTGCAAGTTTCGTTTGCTATGATAGGTGGAAGAGGAGGCATAGCCCTTGTAAAAAGTGTACAGCTACGTTAGTGAATGAAAACGTTGTATGTTCACAGTTTAAGTCAGTCGATCTTGTAATGATACTACTGAAACCATAGATGAGAATAAGCTTGCCTGTGTTTCCCAAACCACTGAAGGTTACCTACCAGCATTTAGCAGACTTAGAATGATGTATTACTGTAGTTCCTCAGATTACCTTTGTACGTACACCTCTGTCAAAGTCTAAAACTCTTTGTTGGTCTGTCCCCCTTATTTCCCAACCAAATATAAACAATGGTAATGAATTTTAAATTGCAGAAATATTGCCTTTTACAATGCTGTGTTTTGGATGTAATTATTCTTTTTTTTATTTATAAGTATTAATCAGTTGGATTAAGGGTCATGCTTTTCACTCGCAATGTAATTTAGGAACTAGAGTGGGTAAACAAGTTTATATATTGCTCACAGACGTGAAATATTGACAGAAATATGGCCTCTGTCTAATTGACAAGGAGTGGCACTAAGCACAAGCAGAACCAAATTACTCCATTTATGTACAGGTTGCTAAGTGTTAGATATTGATTCTGTCTGTCTGATTTCAATTATAGTGCATTGATTGAAGGGATGGTGATAGCATCATCTAGAGCGGGTCTTCACTTTCATCCAGACCTTTTACCAAAGACATGCTCCACAAATAAGCAGAGAGAAAAGGATCTGGCAAAAATACCCTCTGTTGTGTAATTGTATTTGTAAGCAATCTGAGAAATTAAACCTGGTCAAGTTAATTAAAAGTGTAATAAAATAAAGAGTGACCCATATTATTGTGAGTCTTTGCTTTATAGAGTTTGCTGTGGTGTTGCCTGTGTTATGAGCACTTTCATCTGCAAAACACATTCATAAAGGGGATGGGGGGATGGAAAGATGTATTGTACTTAGTCAAAGTAGGGTTTTGTTCTCCATGTCTTCAGGTCTTTTTTCCTGGAAAAAGAAACTTACTTTATAACATGACATTAACTTGAAAGGTTAACTCTCCAGTCACGGTGTTAAAGTTCACAACTGTGTCTAGCTGTTGGCCATTACAAGGGCATTACAAAAATACAAGAGTAATAATAATAATAATAATAATAATAATAATAATAATAATAATAATTTTTTATATATAATAACACATTAACTTGCACCGTTCCACAGACCAGGAGATTTAAAAAAAAATGACTGCAGCATGTGCTGCATTAGCATGGAAGCATCAAGATTGTGGTAAAGAAAACTACGAAGCCTCAATTTTTTTATACATGCTGCTAAACTAGAAACGAGAGCAGTAGAGTAAAATTACATCTTAGAGTTTGCTTAAATGAATGTCTTTCATTGTACTGATTAAAAGTACATAAATATAGCATATTCTAATCCGTAAACAGCATTACAATTTGGCGCAGCAGCAACAACAACAACAATTGTATTGTGTATGGACAATCAAGGTGCACTCACACATTTGGCCCAGTATTTGCAAGTAGGACTGACTGTAGCAGACCTTTGTGCTGAATTTTCTCTAAACAAAAATCATTAGCACACAACAGTTAATTATACAAGCCTGATACCAGCCAATATATCTATGCAAAGATTATATTTTTAAAAAAACCCTTGTCATAAAAGGGGATTTTTTTTCCCAGCGAGACAATGACATAGAGCACAGAGTCATAGAGCACAGAGTCTGGGGGTTTCATGGAACTGTCTCCCGATACAGACCGACCGGAAAAGGAGGATAGGTCCACTGACAAATGTAGTTATTCAAAAAGAAAAGGTTAAAATATTTCACTTTTCGACAACATACCCAATAGTGTTCAACATAATTTATTTATGTTCCGCTCAATTATATGATGCAGTGGCTGCATTTTAAGGTTTTATGCAGTGATAAGCATCAGGAAACATCAGACCCTCTGAAAACCAACAAGTGAGGTTGACACACTTTCCAAACACAGCTTAACCTGACACTCCCATTGTAATAATTCACATTCTGTTGCTGACAGTCACTAGCATAAAAACAGGCCCCACGCTTTTTCACCCACAAATTACAGAGAAGTGTTGAGCCCCTGCTCTGGTTCACTTCTTCCAAACCACAACAGTGACTGGTAGCCCTGCTTACCCAGATTACTGTGAAAAGACTCTGCTGCTGTACAGTGACAGTTTGTGACTGATGCACACATCACTCATACTGATAGTGGTTCCTCTGAAGTTGACGACTCACATACAAACACTGAGGGAAAGCAAGAAGCCCAAATGAGACAGTCTTTTAACACATCAGAGTCAGAGTCTGCATGTTGTTTAGATCAGCAACACTTTGATTCATTCAACAAAATAGCAATATGAAACTCCTTACTGTGCAGAAAGTTAAAAGGTAAAATGAAAGATGTCAACGATGAAAGATGACCTGTATATTAACATACATACATATATAGATGAAGGTTGAATACCAGTGAGTCAGTACTGATGGGCAACAGTTAGGGGTCTGTGGTAAATGTGTGTGTGTGTGTGTGCGTGGTAGGGGGTTTCGTTCTCGAAAATAAATTGAACAAATGTCACTGTCTCTGCCTTCCCTAGTGTCTCAACAATGTCTGAAGCGTTATAAAATGGACATTTTTAGAAAGCAAATTATCAGGGAAAGACCACATGACACCCTCACCTCCAATGTTTAGAAGAAAAGACACAGGTCTAATTGCAATCTTTTTTTTTAAAAAAAGGGTCAAAAGATTAATATCTTTCCATGAAATACATATATATATATAACCTCTTTTTTTTTTTTTAAAGCCTATTTGCTCTTTGTCAACAGAACAACAAACCTAGGAAAAGGGAAGCATACAGAGAGCCTCAGATCTTGCAAATTCATTCTAACCTTTATAATAGAATAAAACAGCCTTTATTGTCATTGTAACACAGGGGTACAATGTACACCTTTACACCTTTAACCCATATTTACTCAAATAATTTGTAAGCATTTGTCAATAGTAACAGTAAGTCTCGTACATGAATGGATTTATTTGCAGGAGGCAGTAAACTTGACATCATAATATTCTAATTATTTTAGATTGAGCATTTTATACTCAAGGCAAGTTTAAGTCATTCACCAAAACTGAAAACCTTGATCATTTCTATGATCCAGGCTAATAAATAAGTAAATCAATAATGCAGTATTAAAAAAAACAAACAAACAACCAAGCTCATCAAAACGAGACACTCACAGCTCACTGAGACCTGCATTACTTCATAATCAGGCATTAATGTGATGCAATGTGTATAAACAATACTGAAGAACAGTGGCAGCAGCTACTGGGTTTAGGTCTGAACACACAACACACCTATTAATATATTGACCAGCAGGACCAGAGGACAAGAAATAAAATATAACATGAATGACTGTCAAGGCAGCGGTGGCTTACTGGTTAAGGAAGCGGACTTTGGTCCGGAAGGCTTCAGGTCCGAGTCCACCAGCTGCCAGGTTACCACTGACCACTGTGAGCAGGGGACCGTCCCCACACACTGCTCCCCGGGCGCTTAAAGCTGCCTACTGTTCACTTTGGTGATGGTTTAAAAACAGACATGACATTTGGCCGTGTGCTGTGGTGTGCTGTCACAATGACAAGCCGTTCACTTTCCTTAAATGGCAACTGCAGCACACACAAGTATCACACCTGTACGCCTGTAGCTATACCTGCTGTATGGACGTAACTGCTAGAAACCATCTATTGCTCTGAATATAACCTTTTGACTCAGAATTTTCACAAAGCACTAACATTGATCTAATTACAGTACAATCCTCAGCTTTATCCCAGCTTAAACCACAGACGCACAAATATGGGTTTGTTTTATCACCATGACTAATGGACCTAAGAAATAAGAGAAAACGCCTGAAATGATCCTAAATAAGTCAAAAAGGATGTACGTCCACATTTGTGTTTTTCTTTTGTGAGGACACAAATACTAACAGTCTCAATAAATGAACCCTAACTCCTGTTACCTTCAAACTAATAAACCACACACACACACACACGTGTGCACACACACACACACACAGTTTTACTCTGTTTACTAAAATGTTTACTAGTTTACAGGATACAATAAAGGAACTACAGCTTAAGTGCCACGATAATATCATTGAGTTAAAAAAGACACCCTGTGTGTTTAAGTCATCCAACATTGTACTCAACTGGCAAGGCATCAAAAGAGATGAGCAAGAGAGGAGGGACTGCACAGACAAGAGAGGAAACCACGTTGTCCCATAGCAAAGCTGAACTCATCGTCATGTCACTTAAGAAGACACTTCGCAATCATGATGTGAGTTGATTCCTTATTCTATTGGACGAGTAGTGGCTAAATACGGGGTAAGTGTCCCAATCAAAGCTTTCTGCTTCAGCTTTTTTTCATCAAAGACTCAAATGCAATACATAGGTGTGTTTTCTGTGTTCAGATATAAATAGACTTGTGTGGTAAGCTTTTACTGGGACTTTACCCTATTAATGTTTGTGCATCAACACGGCAACCTATACCCTGTACTGTATATAGATGATGTACTGTACTGTATGTACAAATGTTGCACAAAGTAAAGTGAGTTAAAGTGTTGGCTCGCATCTTAAAGATCTGCTATCTATGTCACAAGACATCAACATTTGAGTGAAGTGAGGGAAAAATATTATTGCACAATTCAGTTCAGTTAATAAGGCAAGTGCTTTCAAAATATATTTCTTTAAATGGACTGGGTCAGGTGGACTTAATACACACTCAGACTTGCATCATCTGAACCTGGGACTGTAGATGGAAGACAGCTGATAGTGAAATCTGGTATGACACAAAAACTCTCGAAAATTAATTGTATGAAGAATAGAATGCCTTAGAACAGCGGCAGTTTAGAAGACGGCGACAGTTGTGTCGGTAGCATGACGGATAGGAATACAGAGGAGTTCCAATTATAAGGTAGATATAACGAAGAGCTGAAAGAAAGTGCAGTTGATTTAACATTTAGGTATTATCAAACCCTTGATAAATGTTTTTTTTCTTGTTTTGTTCCGACTGTAATACATATAAATAGCAGATAAGGGTATTTTAATATTTTGTAAAAATATATAGCGGCATGTGTCATAATTAAAAATACTCGACACATTTTTTATACCACTAGAGGATGTAGCATTATTTAACATAATAGTTTAATATTACAGCTGACAATATATTATAACAACATAAATTGATTATGGTTTTATAAATATATATATTGTATCGCAATGTTGCAGCCCTATATTGTCTAAGTGCACAGCACACATTTTTATATCTATATACATCTTAAACAACAATAAACATTTAAATCAAACCTACAGTATGAAGTTTTTTAAATGATAAGAAACAAAAAGAGAAATAGATTTAAGACTGCACACAGAGGTATGTGTAAGTTACAGTAAGTGCCGAAACTGAAAACGAATTTTTTTCGCATCTACTTAATTTTTACAATCACAGTCAAAGGATACAAAATACCAAAACTGTAATATATATATATATATATATATGTATGTATATACTGGATATATACATATATATACATATATGTGTGTTTTTATAGATTAGAGGTTTGATTAAAAACTACACTGATAAACTTAGGTTTTTATTGTTTTCTTAATTGTTCTATTTTCCGTGAAATGCTCGCATATTTAAATATTCCACTCCTGCGCAAACTTGATTTATGCTGAACTGTATTGTATGTTTAAACTTTACTCATGTTTACTCAAGCGTACAGTCATTAGTCATGGTTTCATATACTGTCAGAGCTTTGCGGCTTTAGAGTGTGTATGTGAGCGCCAGATATCAAAGCTACCAGCAACACATCAACCAAACATTCACACAATATCAGACAACAGTGTGAATTGAGCACATTTTCGGCAGTTTGAATGTGCAATAAAATAATTGCACCATGCTGTAAAAAAGATTGATATTTAAAAAAAGAGTAGTAAACGAGAACATGAAAGATTTAAAGATTTCGGACATTAAAACGTTGCTATGAGTAACCTTCGTATAACATGAAGATATTATTATATATTATTATTAAGGTGAAAATTTTAATCGGCATATTTATTGTACTTTGACTTATCTATTTCTAGTTCTCTTTGGCCTTTCTATTTAAATGGTTTTTTTTTTTCTATCTACTTTTCCACTCTAGGCAAATCTATTACAGCATCCTGCCGCCTTGGAAAAAGTTAAAAGCCTTTTCCATTAAAGTTAAACATGCAATTGAAATTAAGCTTCATCGTAATTTAAAAAATAAAGCCGTGCCACGTACAAGCAGCAGCTAACTTTTGTTTAAATCACGTCAATAAACGCAACTTACATAGCACTGGAATAGAAGCCTCCAGTGCAGCAGGTGACCTATATTCCTGATGGCACTACAGGCTTCACTACTAGAGATAAAGACTACTGCATATTGTAATCACAGCAAACCATAACAATGTATAAGTCAGACCATAATAAAAGCGTTCCTAAAAGCGACGTTACGTTCACAGCATCTTGCGTTTTTTATATGTAACCAACCTCAGCAGTTGTATAGTGTCCGTAGCATGGCTACTGATGTACTCTTATACCATAACAGGACATGTTTGCACTTTCTTATCATCCTTCTCAGGTGAGCTTGAGCCCAGAGTTATATTTCTGCTTGAAATGTATAAAAAGCTTCCTCTTTGCATTGCAAGCATCAGGAAAAAAAAAAAAACTTAAAAAGTTTCAGTGAACACAATGAAATGTTATACAATTTTAGCAAGGGTACCAACTTCTCTTAAATTAATTTTATGTAATCATGAGTAGTTTGTTATTTATTTTAAACAAATAATTACCCTTCCTGGAGCTCATAAAGATTTCCTGCTGCTGTGGCTTTAATGTGATTAACGATTAGTAAAGGCACAACATCTATTTTGCACAACAGATGTCTCATTTGTATTTTTCTTTTCAATTACCTTCAGTGTCTACCAACTTCAGAAATGATTCGAATTAATAACACACAGTATCCCCACTTCCTGGAGCAGGCGGATGCTCTGCGACGCTCAGGAACTCTCTGTGATGTGATCATCTCTGTGAAGAGTCACACATTCAAAGCTCACAGGCTCGTACTGGCGTGTGCTAGCAGAAGACTAGCACAGCAGCTATCCAAAGATGACATAGACAGCCCATCCTGTTGTACTCTGGAGCATTTCTCGCCTCACACCTTCCAGCAGATCCTGGACTTCACCTACAACCATACCCTTGAGGTGCCTGAAGAAGATTTGTGTTTGTTGCTAAGAGCTGCCCAGCTGCTGGACATGCAGCTGCTGGCTGACCAGTGCCGCAAACAACTGGATACACTCAACCAAAGGGACAGAGGGGACGACAGAAAAGAAGATATTGAAAGTGAAAATGAAGAAGAAAATAATCATGCTCTAGAGAAGGATTCAAAGAAGAAGGAACTTGCTCACGACAACAAAATTCAAGGCAATTATTCCACAGAGGAAAAGGTCAACAAAACCATTGTAGCTGAAAATCATTCAACCTATGTTTGTGCAGAAAACCACAACAATTCATCATGCCCAAGACAAAAGCCCAGACTTTCCCCAATACCAACAACACCCGACTCTAGACACATCAGCGTCATCACCAGGCCAGTAACCAGCTGTTCTTCTGTCCTTCCTGCATGCACTTTCCCCACTAACAAGTGGACCCCCGCGAGAGCTTAGCAGAAAACTATTCAAACCTCTTCCCTCTACCACCTATAAACCAATCCTCAGTAGCATACCCATTCTCACTATCTACGGCCCACGTGTTGCCTTTGCTGAGCCCTCATTTTCAAAACCAAGTCCACAGCTCGGTGATGGGCTACCCGGGCTTCTATCCGTATCACACACAGAACCGATGCACTGCAGCAGCAGGTATGGGCAGCATAATAAAACAAGGACTGTTAAGGAGAAAAAGGATTCGCAGAGCCTCCAATGGTGGTGTTCAAGATGGACACAGGTGAGTCATCTCAAGATTAAGATTTCATTTTTTTCCAAAAAAACATCTCCCTAATTTTCCTATCACATACTCATTTAGAGCCCAATTATCTTCTCAATTGCTCCTTTGCAAATCTGCACTGCTTGAGTCACTGCTGTCTGGGTAGCCGTCTGTGTCAGAGCCTCCCACACTTTCCAAAGAGTAGTTTCACTTTTTTGAATGTAAGGGTTGCAAGAAGAAGCATATATGCAAAAAAAAAAAAAATTTAAAAATTATTATTCTTTTCTCATTTTATCAAATATAAATGATATATTTCATTATGTAATTTGTACTGTGTTAAACATATTTACCTATGAATACATAGTACCTACAAAGGGCTTTTCTCCCTTTTTTCATATCCTTCCTAACGGTGCAATCCTTTAAAGTACGTAACTAAACAGTGTGATAAGGGGAGCCCCCTACATTTCTCCCCTCCTTTGCAATATTTCAGATTTTCCACCCACAGTTTCAGTAAGACCGGTCACAGCTGTACCACAAGAAATAGTTAAAAACCTTGGAGGAAAAAAATGTTGTTTTTCAGTGTCAGTGTACTGCCCTGCTACGACATATGAACGTCATATGTAGATTTCTAAATTATATTGAGGAAGATATCCCTTGAGTTGCAAAGTTCAAAATATATGCAGAATGATTTTTTTATGTTACCATCTGCTTCTTTCACCAGTGAAGTGCAAGCTGTTTACAGCTAGCGAACTCTTGTCAAATAGCAACATCAGGATTTTTTTTTTCTTTTGCAGTTTTCATCAAGTCCCTAAAACGAGCCCAGACTGCATTAAAGACTGCCAAAACTGCAGTTCAAGTCTCACTGCTGATTCTGCACCACGGAACGCAGCCTCTACACTATCAGGTACTGATTTAATTGGTAAGGCAAACTGAGCATTGCATTTTGCGTTCATTACAAAACTAGTATACAATTTTTGTCACGACACATCAAGACTTTGACGGTGGATATTTTGCAGAAAGCTTATCAGTTTAACAAGTATCACAGCTTTCCCTGTGACCCCTAACCTCTGTGAGTTAAGATACTGAACTGTGCAATGGAAAGTGATAAAAGAGAGTTGTGGTTTTGTGAGCATGGTGCAGCAGGAGCAGTAGTGTGGTTACAAGATAGAGCTTCATACACGCAGTACAGTATGTGCTGCAGCGCAGCAGTGGTTGGGCCCTTTTAACAATCACAAAGGATATCGTGTAATAAACAGTGACACAAACAGGACTGCAGGTCACTGCAACAATACCAACCCCAAAGTAGTTCTATGTGCATTTGAGTTTGTGGGAGATCTTTAATCTCAGGGCCTCAGACATGTTTTGTTTAATATTTCTGATTTCAGAGAAACCCTCTATTCAAACCTCCAACTAGTGCTAATGTGGGCTGAACACATCTAACTACATGGCTTGCCTAAAGCGATTGGGCTTCAGAGATTAAGAAATATTTTCCAAAAAATAAATAATATATATACATAAACGAGGTCTCTCAAACTATTAACATTTGAATAATTAATTACAGGCCAACAGTGGCTTAATCATGATTAATCAGGATAAATACATTATTCTGTATTTGGAGGAAACAAAAAAAAATACAAGGTCATCATCTGCATGCTACTCATGTTTGTATTTTATTGTATTTTACCTATTTGTGTGTTTTTACTGTTGTTTTGGTGCTGTACTGCTGCTGCAGCCTAAATTTCCCAGAGGGAAATCCAGAGGGATTAATAAAGTGCTATCTATCTATCTATCAGTCTATCTATCTATTAGGGCAACAATAAATTGATTGAATTTAAACATAATATAAATTTAATATCAATATAATAAAAACTTGAATCTGTAGTTTGATAATTAAGCCGTACCGTTATATAACAGATTAAACAAAAAACTGTTTTAATTTGTTAGAAATTATTAAAAAATGTTACTTATATAGATTATTTTTAACAAACGGGTAAGACAAGTTATATTTTATATTATTTTTAACAAACGGGTAAGACAAGGGCAGGTTTGAACTGAGACTGCATTGATAGCATTTGGTTTTCTAAAGTTTAAGTTTTCTTAATATGCAAATTATGTATTCTTGAATGGGAATATAAGGAGCATCTGCCAGTGAGAATCGTTTCATTTTGTGTGAGCCAATTTAATTTAAGATTATTTATTGACATTTAACCTCTTGTCTTTTATATTATTTATACCACAATTCTTGAAAAGGGGTTTTTCACTTACTACCACAATTGTAGGTGAGAGGTAAAACGCCTTATAACTGAAGGACTGAAGTCAAGGGTTTACACACGGTACAAGAACAACATGAACCTTAACTTAGAGGAATAAAATTCACAAATATGTCAACTAGATTTAGACTTGCCAGATTCGAAATAAACAACTCTTGACAACTTTTTTTTCAAATCAAACACTAGTGCAAACACTACTTCTATGTGTACAGAAATGCAATAGCCTGTAATAAGAATAAACAGGAATTTTTTTTAGGATAAAAAAAATGCTTCCTCTGACTCCTAGTTGTTTTTTGTTTGTACAGTAATTAATAAAAAGTATGAAAATATAAGATTAATGCTACAGCAAAGCATAATAACAGGACAGGACACTTAGACAGGAAAAACAGAAACAGGACACCGTAGTTTGTGTAGAACAGTGAGTGTAAAAGTGTTTCTCATTATTTTTGTTTTTCCACCCCCTTCTTTTTCAGCATCCTGTTTAAATAGTGTAGGACCAATATTTTTCTCGAGAAACTTTGGCCTAAAAAGTACATAGGCTTCTGAAAGGTGCACACTTAACCTCAAAATCACACCTTCACATTTTTAAACTAGTCCCCAGGATATGAGGCTACAGTATATGCGTGCGCAGAGACCGGAAAGAGTCTTGCAACAGGATGCAGACCATTGTGTCGTGTCATTTAAAATTCAACTAATTCTAATTATACAATACTTAAGATATTAAGATAATATAATGTTTTTTTCAAGTTATTATTTTAAAAAAATAATAAAGTTGTAGTTTTCTGACAAATGTTACAGTTTGGCAGGGCATACTGCAAATGTTGCATTATATTATTTATATGTTATTACAATTTAAAAAACTGAAAATAAAGCATGGGATATTGAAGTTTAGCACTAGGTCTTTCAATTGAAAATCAAATGATTTTAGGTTAAAGGTATCCTTTCTGACACGTTAATTCTTATTAATGCACCCCAGTGCAGTGGGAAAATGAAATCATTGTAATCTTTTCATTGAATGATATGTTCCATAAGTAATTAAACATCTGTATAAATGCTTGTACAGGTAAAGTCTGTGCAGGCTGTCGATTCTGCAGAAAACAATATGGGCTAAAGCGTGAGCCACAATCCAAGCAGCATGACCAGAGAGGAGACAAACCCTACCAGTGCCGACACTGCCCCAAAAAGTTCAGTCTTAAACATCAACTGGACACCCACCACAGGGTGCACACTGGTAAGCACACATTTTACTGTAAACTTTTACTTTGCAATTTTCTGATTCCTCAACAATTCCTCAGCTTGAGAGCTACGCCTGATGAAATGGCCAATGCAATATTCTTTCCTTCCGATTTGTGGGAAAAATAAAAACACAATCTACACAGAGTATTAAAGTGTATCATACTAATTACACCCACAATCATGTTTCAATGAAATGGAATGAGCCAAAAACATTTTGGCAAAAGAAACGCTTAAAAGCAACGACTGCCTGATTTGTCAGATGTTACTTAAGTAAAAGAGACATGACTGTCAACTCAGACAAGTCAATCCATGATATATTTACAGTGTACTAAGTCTCTGCAGTAAGTGGTAATGCTTTAAAAGGTAAGCTTGTTGGCTCAAGCTATTTTTGCACCTTAGTTTTCCGCCTCCTTTCAACCCAATGTCATTTGTAATTTGATTATAACTTCATCCCCTCCAGTAGGTGGCGACCTAGGTGACTTGCTTCGTGGCCTATTTTAAGAGACTAAGGGATTATTATTATTATTATTATTATTATTATTATTATTATTTTGAATACATTTTTGGGTTTTTTATTTACTGTATTTATTTTATTTAAAATGGAAGCTACTATAGAAGATGAGGTCACAAGTAAGAGACAGGTGTGTGGTGGCCAAAGTTTGATAACTTAAAAACCACTGTGGTAGACAACTCATCAGTTTTACCAAAATTTGACCTCTAACAACTTAACAAATGTAATTAGAAATTTCGCAGGAAATGAATGCAAAAAGTCGACAATCTTTTGTCCATGTCTAGTTTCTGGGACATGCAGATATATTCTATGTTTAGAAGAAATCCAGTCAGAAGTAGAGAAATGGACTCAGCCTCATCAAAGGGGCCAATTTCAGTTTTTTCTCTTTACAAAAAACTCAACACATATACACAAAGAGACAGGCAATCATCCAGATACACACCTTCATGGGTGCCTCTCAGGTCACTTGAACCATCCTCTATTCTGCCTGACTGTGGCTGAAACTAAGAAACTCAAACGGGGTCATGGGGTGAAAGCCTGCTTTGTTTAACACCCTTCATTTAGTTATTTAGCCCATGGACAATAAGAAATTAGGGTCTTTTTTATTAGTGCTTAATGTAGTAAAGGAATTAAAGACTATGCTATGTCTGTACAATAGTTACACTTACTTTAGCATTTTAAAAAACAGCATTTTCTCCTTTTGTTTCTCCGTTAAATAAATAAAAATTAATTTGATATCTTACTTAAATTGTCATCTGGGAAGGATTTTCAACCAAATCAAAACCCAATGTTCTTCTCTCTGTTTCAAGGGGAGAAGCCCTTTGAATGCCGTTTATGTGGGCAGCGCTCACGGGACTACTCGGCCATGATCAAACATCTGCGAACCCATGGCGGGGCCACGCCGTATCGGTGCACATTGTGTCTGGAGTTCTGCAGCAGCCTGGCCGCCATGCAGAAACACATCAGGAACCATGCCATGCAGGAGTTTCCCCCTGACTGGAGCATCAGCAGCACCTACCTGTACATCTCCCATATCTGAACCAAGTCTCCAAGCCCACAAAAAGCAACAGATATATATACACAATACAACTGTATTGTATAATAACATAGCTGAGTATGTATAAATAATACATATTGAGCTATGCAGTGGGTTAAATAATAGCTAATCAAAACAGTAAAAATATACAGATAAATAGTTGTAGTATTTAAGTCAATTATCCTAGTACACAGTGTAAAATGGCCTCCTCCTAGTAGTAGTTGTTGTTTATATCATTTAAACTGTTTTTGTATCGTGTACAGACATAAGGAATTGAAAGAACATGGCTTACCTGATGGTATTTAAGAGTGGCCTTAGCAGATCCTACTTCAACATGACGTTTTGTCTCAAAGCACAAAAAAAGAATCACAATAATTAGTGTATTTAGTGTGTATATTACGAAGTAATGTGCTCTGGTTTGCCACAGAAAACTCTCTCTGTCGATGTCACTCGTGTGTTTGTTCTAAAAGTTAAGGTTTGGAGCAATATATTTCGTGTTACTAAGGATACATGTTGACGGAGCTAAATTGCTAAATTGCCTGTTGTTGCAGTGTTTTTCTGCTTAGCAACATCAACTGATTGGCTGACTAGGGATGTACTAAGATACCCGGAAAGAGGGAAAGTAAAGTATAAATTGTTGTTTTTTTTAATGATATATAGTGATTAGTTCTTATGAAGAGATTTTTTTAGAAAAAGAAAATCAGGGGAAAAAAAACTTTCTTTGGTAACTGTCATATATTGGAGCCACAGAACAGAAGTTAAGCGGTTACAAAGTATAATTTTGTTTTAGTACCCTCCTGCGTGCTTCCACAGCACTTGCATTTCGGGATTCCACAACTTATTTGTATTATTATTGACAAATTAATTATATATGCATTTTGTTGTAAGGTTTTAAGCTTATAATTTCAAACAATGTATGCTTTTAGTCCCTCCTGATATTTTATATTACTTTTTTTGCTCTCTATAACATACATTTTCTGTGTGTGCGTGTCTGTGTGTGTGTTTTCCAAATGGTGCTTAATAAAGGGAGTTTATTCATGTGTCTATCTAAGGGCGAGGAGATTGTGTCTGGAAGTCGACCCAAACTGATATGTCTTAAGATCACTCGAGGTAATAATTATGGGATGCAGTCGCAGTAGAAGCTGCCCTCTATCCCGAAATATCAAACCTTCAGAAGGCGGTTTCTTGTTGTTGTCAATTGGAACCACTTGATGTCGCTGTGTGACTCTATTCTGCTTCTTTTATAACAGATAAGACTGTACAAAGCAGGGAATTATAATAGATAAACACACGTCTGTGCCCAGTGACTCGGATAAAAGCACCTAAAATACAACACCATTAATTTATCTGACTTAATATGTTATTTATGTTTTTGTAAAAAGAAATGCCGAAGGGAAGCCAAATACCGAAGACAACGGGTTTATTCAATGAATGAGTCATTGAACAAAACTCGCGCATAATTTGGAATGTTGCGTAGATATTGCCAACGTGGTTAGCACACACCGAAGCCACCCACAGAGAAAATGGCAACACTATAAACAAAATATATACACAAATCTTTCACCCTCGCAAATATGTTGCTGTCTAATGAAAACTAGTGGTCAGATGATGTGACCAATCAACTGAGCTGACTCATTATTTCTATTTTTATATCTTACCATTTTGAAAGTTGCTGTTCCGTGATGATCGATGCCTCATTCATTCTGCATTACACCCTGTTCCCAGAAACTCATTAAAAACCACACAGTACTGTAAATACTTTAAATCAGTATTTACTCTTCACAAATCTTTTTATTTGTCAAGCACACAAAATTTAAGTTATAAACGTGTTTCGGTAAATGGTGTGTTAAGTAATGGAATTCACTCAAAGTTGCTTGTATTAAAACTAGTGTAACCAGTTCTTGTTATCGCAGCTCTACGTAGATCGTGGTTAGGTATCGTTGATCACACCGGATACGTAGAGTTTTATCGTGAAGGGAAAACGGAAAATTGTGTTGCGTTGGCCGATGTGTGTTTGCTGTGTGGGCACGTGCGAATAAAGGATAAAGTTCGAAACCTTTTGTCGGAGACGGTCATTCCTATCTTTAAGTTATTTTATCATTAACCCTTAATCCTTACTGTAAAGCTAGATGTGGATGGCAAACAGGAAATACGGCTGTGACTCTGATCAATCACAGAATGCAGCCAAAGAATGATGTACTACGTTTAACTGATATATGAATACTGACAGAAATATGTCTTTCAGTGACCAAATACAGTACATACATGTTTACAGTTTCAATTCTGACAACGTCAACACTCACCGCAAACATCTGACAGATTTTTTTTCTTTTTTTGCACAACATTTCGAAAACTAAACCGCGATTAGAAACTAGAAGTTTAACATTTTATTAGAGTTACAGTTGTGTAACATCCGATAAAACAGAACACAGTTAGGTCTGCATGACTGAAATGAAACTTCAGCTTTTTTATATAATGTTACTCAGAGAGATACAGCACTATAAAAACAGGATGACAGTTGGTTTCCTAAGAAAGCACAGCCCAGGAGTTCATTTCCAGTCGATGACCTAGACTAAGCAAAAGCTTTTAACCATTCAAATAAAACATGTGTCTTAGAACTAACAATACAACAGTTCCGTTTCTGTACACCTCAGAATTTCTTGAGAAATTAGTAAAAAAAACGTTTTTTCTGCCAAGTGAAGAAAAAAACCCTTGCTCAACTCTGGGATTTCCCATTTAGCAGCTCCATCTAACAACTGTTGTCCAAACCATCTCAACCACAATTTTGAGTAAAGTGGTCACTGCAATGTTTCAGACATTACAAAACTTCAGACTTCAGACACTCACTCACTAAATCCGTAGTCAGCATAAATGTTGGTTGGTTAGCAAAAAAAAAAGAATAAAAGAGAGAGATTCAGCACATAATTAAAGATGACTTACAAAAACTGAGTCATGATTAGGGATGACTCACAAAAAAGGGAACCATTAATATTTTACCAATATCATTTACAAAAAAAGTATTTTTCAATATTCCTAACTAATCTGAAAATTGTCACTTGTCTTAATATGAACTATTAAATATTACATTTTTTATTTCATTAGAATGACTTGATTAAAATGTTAAATGTGAAGGATGTCTTGACGTCAATCCACAGCAACTGTGAGCTCGTGGGCGTGCTGCTAAGTATGTGAGTGTCAAAACAGAGAGGGCTTACCATAAACACTCAGAGCTGTGAAGATGGGGCACTCTCTCAAATGCAGCAACCTGACCACTCGCTGGGACAGGCATATGAAAAAGTGTGTGCCATGTGAAAAAAAGCCAGGTGGGTGAATATAATCTACTTTGGTGTACTTTCTATTTTAATAATGTGATTGTATTGTTAAATACCTTTGGTGTTTTAACTGTTTTCTGTTTGCTGTTGCCTCTCTTTGCCTGGTATCCCTTGAAAAAGAGTTGGTTCTTCTTTCTTTTTGTTAAATAAAGATTAATACATTTAAAATATATATATATATATATATAATTGATGTTTTAAAAATAGTTAATTGCATTTTTATTTTCATGTAAAAATGTTGAGACCAATTAAGGAAAAATGGGTTTTGCCTGGAATCTCAGTGGCTGGACACGGGAGCAGCTAGGGATTTTGGGAACCATGAAAATTTTTACTGGGCTTCTAACACAGCGGGCCAGGAGTCCAGCGAAAGAAATGTATGCTATTTTACATAAAACTATACTATTTGATGGTGTTTTTGACTATCATTCCCATATTTGTGAAAAAACAACTACATGGGAGTTCAGTTGGGGAAACACTGAGCACCCTGAATCCCCTTTTAATCATGGGGCCCTAAAATCCTTCTCCTTTTTATTTTGTTGATAGCTTTTAATGATATTGTAATGATAGCTTAAAATAATATATAAACAGTTAAAAACAAAGAGTAGAATAAGGTTCATGGGTTTGACATTTCTACTACTTATTTTTTTTGTATGCCCTGTGAGACAGGAAGTAGTCAATGATGAATGTTAATTCAGATTTTTTTTTGTTGTTGCTATTACATAGGAACTGAAATTACACCTAACTGTGGGTATGACGACCAAGGTGGTATTCATGAACTACAGCACAAAAATTGTACACAAAATTGTACCTTCAATGATGGCAGTCAGGCCTACTGTCAGCCCTGTACTTCATGTCCACCTGAGTTCACCGTGCATGTTTGCAACTTAACTTCTGATACTTTGTGTCAAGCACCAAGGTAAATAAAAGGCTCCAGAGCAAAGGGGGTGGGGGTAACATTTCAGACTGAGTTGGTGAAATCATTGTTTTAACATTTTCTCTTCAGGACTCAGTCGATGACAAGTGCTCCAGTCACGGTGAGGAGGACATTGCCTTACTTCAACTCCTTAACAACAGTTGTATTCTTCAGAACAGGAAATAAGGTTTAGTTGTGTTCAAAAGAAAAGTTGCACGTACTGAGAAAAATCCCCCAAAAGTTGAACTTTGAATTAACCCTTTGTTGCTTATTGAAAAGATTTGCTGTTGGTTCTATTATGTCATCCAATACATTAACAGAAGTTTTATGTGCTTTTATAGCTTACAGTACTTGAAATATAGATGTTATTATTTAGGCTGTATACTATTTCTGTAACACCATGTAGACCATGTGAAAGAATAGAATAGAATAGTCTTTATTGTCATTATGTTCAGTGAAAACATTGGGGAAGGCTTCTCCGCAGGCGTATCACAGATACACACATACTAACGTTACTCTGCTGTAATGGTCACTTAAATAAACAACAAAAGAAAACAAAACAACAAGCAGCGATCAGCACTACAACAGCAGCAAGACATTTACATGAAATATAAATAATAATATAGATGTTATTGCACAAGGCAGTGTGTTGTGGTGCTGTGAGGGCATGTGTTAGTGCGTGTGTGAGTTCAAAGGCTTGTTCATTTAAGGTTAGGGAGGAAAGTGGTGACAAGTGGTAGTTCGCATGTTGCTAAGGAATTACAAGACACCTTAGTTTCAGAAAAGTAAAAACAGCTATTAAAAATGATGATGCACTGTGTTGTTGTGACTTGTAGGAAAACAACAGCTGATGAACTAATCTTTAATTGCGGGATTGTATTACAAGTCAGGAGTGGTGGAGAAGTATATGAGGGTGGTGCGGAACATTAATATAAAATCGGTGACTGGCGAGATCTGGTCAGGACGGATATTATGTTATTATAAAATATTATATTCAATTTTATTTCTGTACTGTGACAACCAAATATTCTATTGTTCTAGACTCATGCAGTTCAAACAGCAACCTCCACAACACCAAAACCAACAAACCATTCCACTCATCACAACATATGTGAGTGAATCCTTCATTATTTCAAAGCATTTAGTAAACCTCTGTTTACTAACATGTACTACTAACACTACTATTTTTATAAACTTTTTTTGTAGGGCTCGTGCCTTTAGTCATCCTGTTGATCGTGTTTATTTTGTGTATTGCCATTGCCATCTACAAGAAGAAAATCAAAGGTGTGCATCCAAACGTTAAGGTTACCACACCGATACAGACCACTGGAGCAATTGAACCAGCTTTCACAGCGGACTCGTTGAGAGTTAACGTCGGTTTTGATTGTGTTGAACACAGGACGAAGCACAATGCTGAGTTCCAGAAGGAAGTCTTCAAAGCTCCGTGAAGGACCCATACCGCTCTTTGCCTCGTCTGCAGACAACGACCTGGAGGCTCTTCTTAGTGAGTAGACGTCCTAACCCTAACCCTAGCCCTAGCCCATCTACGCCCCTGTATTTAATACCCAACGTGTTTCCTCCAGAGCCTGAGATCCACCTTGCCCCGCTGCAGACCCTGCTGGACCACCTGGATGTTTTGGAGCAGTTGGTGGTTCTGTTGGATCCTGACAGCCCAGGAGTGAAGAACACCAAACATTTGGCATCATACTGCTCATTCCCCTCCACCTGGATCACCTACACCTACTCCATGAAAGACACCAAGAGTCCTCTGAAAGCGGTGTTGGAGGGAGTCACTAGCAGGAACCCCGACTGGACAGTCGGCCACCTGGCTAGGTTGCTCAAGCAAATGGAGCGCAACGATGCCATCGCGGTTCTCAGCCAACTCAGACCAAATGAGATGGCTGTGTGATTCATCCTCACTGTGAGACAACAAAAAGCAATAACAGTGTAAACGTATTTTAAAATTTTACTTAACGCAATTTCCTCCGCTCCACGTTCGGTATTAGCGTCGAGCCTGGCGTCATGTCCGTCAAGATATGCGTCCGTGTGAAACACGATAGCGGAATCAATCTAAAGCGGTAGTGAAACTAAACTTCGATTTAGCACAATTGCAATCGGATATTTTTTTAATCCATTTGATTTGATTAAGCTAGCTCGAATCAGTTTACAGTGTTTCGTAATCATTTTGATAATCGCGTCTGTCAGGTCAGTCATGAACTGTGGCGGGAGAGGTTATTATGTTATTCTTAGGTGAAATCTGTCAAATGTGGTAAAACGTTACTGCGCAATGTGTTTCAATTACAATAACTCTGTATTTGAGGCACGGTAATCGCAATGGCCGTGGAATTAATGTATTAATTGTAGATGAAAACCGCTTCATTCTGATTAAATGAACACATTTTTAATAAAAGAAACTATATATAAATCTATAAAACCCCTACAAATAAATGTTTTTATAAACAGACATAAAGACGTGGCCTCAGTCACTCACATCCACAGTCAAAGCACTTTGTTCAAACATCCTGACATCTTTATTAGGCAAATAACATTATAAATAAAAAAGTGCATAGAAAAATTAAACAGGTTTAGAAATATGTATACAAATATTTACAAACTTAGGGTTCATTTGTACATAGTAACAAAGACGTAGAATTAAAGATCACATATCTTCTCTTTTTTATGTTTTACATTTACTTTAAAATAACCCTACTATATATATTTATTATTTATTTATTTATTCGTGTGTGTGTGTGTGTGTATATATATATATATATAACATACAGCTATCTTAACAGATTCTGGGAGAGTTGGTGATGATAACTTAAGGTTTGGACTTTTGCATCCTTCGCTTCAGAAACACTCACAAACACACACACACACAGGCATACAAAGCACAGGACATTAAACCAAGCTACACTCAAATTATCATCCTCTCTTTTGCATCAGTTTTCCCAAACACCTGTCTCAACAGCTGAGGTAGAATCCTTGCAGGGAGTCGGAGTGACTGCTGTTATTTTTCAGCAAGGTGATTGACACATGTTAATCTGGGCTCCATCCCAGTGATTGGACAAGCAAAAAGGTAATGGGGTAAAGATGAAAAGAAAGAAAAAACATTATGGTACATTATCGCTCTAACAGATCAGCAGAGATCAGAGTAAAAAAAAAAAAAAAATTAAAGATTAGGGCTTAGGAAGGCAAACAGTGCTCAATTTTTACTCGTGTGACTGATTCCAAGAAAACCAGTAATCAAACTGAACCCAAAATAAGATTAAAAAAAATGAAGCGAATAAAAAGAGCAATCATTTAAAATACCTGCTGTAGAACAATTTGTCATAAAGGCTTATAAATGCGTGACACAACTGCTCAACACGAAAAAAAAAAAAACTTCAAGTAAATTAGTGAAACAAAGGACATATTTGTAAACAATAAAATAAAAAAAGGACACAAAGCTGGGAGATCAAATACACTAAGACCACCACCGTTTATACAATGCACAACCGTTAAACATTAAAAACAAAAAAAATCAAAGGATGAATAAATATCAACAGTGTGTGATTTCAAAACAGCCTCAACAACAACGGCACTGTACATCAACTAAGAACAAGGTAAAACGTCATTTTAAAGGTGCCGTGTGTTTATTTCTCTCAGCTCCTTTCAACACTTCCTGGTACGTTGCTACGGCAACGTAAACAAAATCCGAGCTCTGGCCTCCACGGACCTGACGCTGGAGTGAGCCCAGAGGCTCAGTGGTGTGATGTCTGACGATGGATGACCTCCCTGGTTAAGAGATAATCGGTGGCTACTGGTTCAGATGAGGGGAGAAGAAAATGGTGGGTTTTATGGATGTTTTTGCATTTATAGGGAAACAAAGTCTTATTGCAGTAGATACTAAACATCAGCGGTGTAAATATACATATATAGACTCACCACGACTCTTAGCTTTTGGCTTGGGTAGTGTTTGCTACATACACCTTATATAGACACACACACGTACAGGCAAGCACACACACACACACACACACACACTTTTAGGTGATCTAATTCTTGAAAAAACACGATTGACTTAAATGTGAAATATAAGAGTTGAACCTCGCAGAGACACATCTTAGCACCATGGTAGTTTAGTTATTAACGACAAAGAATGGTCTGTTAATTATAATGAGAAGAAGAAAGAAATTTCAGACTTTGTTGAAAAACTGTTAAATGTCATCTGAAAAGAGAGAGAAAAATTATCAAGATACGGTTAAGTGTTATGAGTGTACAGACGGTGACGTCACTGCATGATGGAGCGACCGCGATAACAAGTGCGCTGCAGACAGGACACCTCCCCCTGATGAAATGGATTAAACATCGCAGGAGTCTCACAAACGCCAATCGCGGGTTGTTGTTGCTGATTTTGTTTTTTTCTCATGTGATTCAAACATAAGGCTTGATGTGTGTATCAGAGAACATGTCTTGGTGTCAAAACATGGCTCCAGGAGCCTCACTCAAATGGAAGAAACTGGTGTTAAAAAAAAATCCTGTTTTTCCTCTCTCTGTAACTTTTACTAATGTTGACACATAGGAAAACACAGAAGAACCTTGACCACACACACTTTTTAGAAGCTAATGAGTTATATGTGAAGATTCCCCTCCGGTGGTTTAAACCAATAAATAGTCCACACATTTCTTCCACTAAACCTGTGGTATGGGGGTGGTAAATTTTTCCATTTAGATTCAAACACTCTTCATTTAAGTCGAACTTACAGGATGTTCCAAGAATCTTTCAGTTGAGGAAACGCCGACACCTCCTGGCTCCACAGTTGCAGCCCAGCTTGTTGCTGGCGTCCTCGATGGGGAACTTGTAGTCGTAGGTGAGCTCCTCCCCTCGGTAGATCTTCCTCAGAGCAAAGATGACGATGTGCTTTCGCCCCTCCACGTTGATCACTCGTGAGTAACAGTTGGGTTCGCAGGAGTGGTTGATGAACCTGGCCGCGTTGCCGTGCATGGTGGCATCCACCACGTCAAAGTCATCGATGCGGAACATGTAGCAGCCAATGCCCTGGGGAGAGGGAGAGCGCCTACGGTTGGATTTTGTTCAGACTATAACTGCTGAGTGTGGAAGACTCAAACCAACCTTTCCATCATAGTACTTCTCCCGTTTGTCAGTGAGAACTGAGCGGATGACGATGCCTGCGTATTCGATCACCATCTCTCCTGCTTCGATGTTCCTCTTGCAGAACAGACCACGGCCGTGAATTGCAGACCTAAGACACAGGACACAGTGACATCAGACACACAGATTTAATGGTTGTACTTTTAACTGTGTCATTAACTGTGATTATTATAGACCAGAAGGACTGGGCAGGTGAAGAGAAACTAGTGAGGGTTTGAAGCAGACAAGTAGTGACGTCAGGTTCACCACAGTCAACGGAGAAGTAACAGCAGCAGCAGTGACAGTGTTAAGGTGGACACTCTTTTATACATATTAGGGCATTCAAAAGTGACACGTTCATTTTTTTTTTTTTTTTTAATCAATCAGATATAAATAAATGTATTTTATGGGCCAATTGTGTTGACTAATTTACAGCCCTAATTATTAACCTTTAACAATACACAGGAATAATTTTTTCATATTAAAGAATGACAGTTTACATTGATCAACATCCAAATTGCATGTATAGGCACCAACACAATATTTATGAGTATTTACACATGCAAAGGTAATAACATTGTTAGTATATGGTTAATGTGAATTTTGTTATTAACAGAGTCAAATGCAGAATTCTCTCTGCTCATTTAGTTAATTTTATTAGCACATGAGAGAAATATATGTTTGGAATAGCAGGATAAGAGTGTAAAAACAGCAGAAAATACATTATATATACATATATACTAGATAACATCATATCAAATGTACAAATGTGTATAAACCAAAAGACTTGTCAAGGGGTCCCCCAAGAGACAAAAATCATGTATTTGACTTACTTATGGCAAGGTTTAAAAAATGTTTTTTAAAAACTCTATCAGTGAGAAAATGTCTTTAAATAATTTAGAAAAGACAAAGGAAATTTAGAAATCACTATTTGTGAAATAAATGAACTGTGTTCTGACCTGTAGACGCCTACAGCCTCCTTGGATGTTCGTTCCAGGTGTCTGAAGCGCATGGCCATGGGCAGCTCCAAACTAGTAGCCCGCCTGAAAGAAGAAGTAAATAATTAAAGCCAACAAACCAGGTTGTTATAAAAAAAAACCAACAAATACAATAAAAATGTTCATTTGATACAACTTTTAGTTATATAATGATTAAATCTAGAAGTACAACAACAACAATAATAATAATGATAATCTCACCGTGTGGACTTCAGCAGAATCTCATCCTCCTCATCATCATAAGGCCCAATGTCAGGGAGCTGTCTGTGCTGAGAGGCCAGGAAGTTGAACATGTCAAAGGTGGATTTCCTGTAAAGAGTAGTGACAAACGTATATCATTTGTGGTGAAGACTGAAGAAAACCAGTTGGACAAAAACAACAGTGCAGCAACAGGTGACTTGTTGAATAAGGCTGGAATCATTTTTAAAATAGTTAAAGCTCCAAACATATGTTCTGAGTGACTTTAATGTACATTTCACTAGTTTCTCAGCATCAATTCAACAACACTACTATTTCACTGAACTGCAGTTGCAGGTTTTCACTGCTGGAAATTACAGATGGTTCCACTAATTCACAGTTTCTCTAAACTTATTTAACCAACACTTCATTTGTTTATTGAAACAATGTTACACAAAAAAGCTCTGCTCACTTTCTGGTCATCTGGCTGTGTTAACTATGCTGAGAGTTTGATTTTTATTTTTCAATTTGATTCTTTTATTGCTACAATGTCTAATGTGACTTCAGTGTCAGTTAGAAGATTTATTGTATGATACAGAAATAGTCATTTGCTTCTGGATGGAAACAGACTTCTGGTGAAGAGAGGAAAAGATTGTGGTTTCACACCTACACACAGCACACCTACACTATTACCCACAAAGCAGTGACACCTATAGAACACTGTTGTCAAGCCCATTGCGTATTTATTAAAACCCAACCTACGAAAGTATCACAATGGTACCAGCGATTACAAAAATACTTGTGAAAACCCAAATGTGGCTAAATTTGGAAGTACTGTCTAACAGTAGCAGCACTAGCAGCAGCAGCAATGTGTCTGTAATGCTCTATGGGGCAGTCGCAGCACGTCAGTGTGCATCAGTGGGTACCCCAACATGCAGGTTTTCTCATAAGAGGGAAAACCTGATTGGATCTGCGTCTGTGTCTAGTGTTTGACTGCAGTGTACAGTACTTGGATTCAATGCTGTTGTTTTTAAACGTGGTTTAAAAATAAAACTGAAATTGAACCTAACAACAAACTCACCAGATCTTTAAACCTACAAACTAGAATCACAAGTTTGATGAGTTTTCCTAAGCAGTAATTTTTAGCCATACCTCAGATGGATTTCGGAGCGGGCACAGCCACTGGGATTAACAGGAAGATCATCTTCTTGGCTGAACTGTTTGAAGAAACGGAATTTGTGGCGTTGACAACGGGGAGCTCCTTCCAGCTGCTCCAGTAAGAACACCACCGTATCGTGGAGGAGACCGAACATCAGGGCACCAGTGATCTTCTGGAAGGTGAGCGGTCTCAGTCTCGTGATGGCACGTGCTTCCTGAACGCCGTCGATCACTGCCTTCCAAGCCACTGAAAAAAAGTTAAATTATGTCAGACAGAAAATATAACAGACATGACAGTTGTTTCATTGTTTAGTTTCTTCTACTGAGAATTTAGGAGAAATATTAGCCCTACCCTCAATACTGTCTGCCTCAACGCTGAAACCATCATCACTGGTTATTTCAAAACGTAAGTGCGGCTGCTCTTTGTTGGTGGGAAATTCCTCATCCTCATCAGAAATCGGTGGCTCCTCATCTGAAGCAGAAGCGGCACCTGGAAGAAACACGTCAAACATGTCAAAAAGGAGAAAAAGAAGATGTGCTGCTTCAAAAAAGATTACATCTATATATAAAATTCAAGTTATGGCAGAAGTTTATAAATTAAATTCAACACAAATCAGTTCACATTTATAACTCAACTTTACCAACAGAGACATCGGTGAGTTGGTTGAATTAAGGATTGAAGCCATTTTATTTAATTTGTTTATCTCAAATTTGTTTGCCTCGAAGCCTTACACGGACTGTGGTTGCACTTTACACCAGCAGAGGGCACACTTTAACCGGATAACTTACTCCACAGAGGCGCATACAGTTAGTCAAATGACAGAAGCAGAGAGGAAACTGCAGTCTGCACCGTTAAACATAATAATACAACAAGTACTCACCAGAATACTTCCTCCAGTCGGTCAGATTGTTGTGTCCCACTGGTTCACGCACGACCTGTTTACCTTGATCCACCCGAGACATGAACTCTAAAGAGTTGGACCTGAAGAATGCAAATATTAAAATGAAAATATGTACAGTGACAAGTGAAAAGATAACAGCGGTTGGAACACAGAATGTTTTTTGTTTTTTTTAAACTTCCTAAAGGCATGTCAAATAAGACGATGTCGCAAAAACTTAATTAGATATCATATATATATATATAATTAGATATACTGTTATGACCAACCAGAAATCCACCCTTTTAAGCAGCTTACCCTGTGCTGTCTGAATCACTCATGTGCTCCTCCTTCACCTCATCCAGGTTCAGGATTCCTTTCACTGTCGGAGTCTTGATCCTGACTCCTGAAGCTCTGCTGGACACACTCTGCGGGGTGACCTTGTGCCGCTGCGGTGGTGCCGGTGCCGGTGCCGGCTGCTGCTGCTCCTCTTGCTCGTGGATAGGCTCTGGTTTCAAAAAGTCAACTTTAGATTTCTTCGTGACAATACGGTCTGAGAGAGAAGACACTCTCTTCATGCGAACATGGGTGCGAGGCCGGGGTGCAGACACAGATGGTGCAGGCAGTGCTGGTGGTGGGGCTGGTGGTGGTGGTGGTGAAGGAGAACGAGGACACTTCAGATTCTCCAGCTCTTCAGGTTCAATTAACAAGCCAGGTGGCAAAACGAGAGACGAAGGGCTGAGCGAGCGAATGCCACTGTACTTCGGGGTGTAGTTGCTCGCCATGGCCTGGTAAATAATGGCTTGAGCGCTCTCTGCCGGAGTCACAGGTGGTTTCGGGGTGGACACGGCAGCCGAGCCTGCGGCCTTGGATGACTTGGATTTTTTGGGTGCACTGGACTCCTTCTTCTTTTTTGGCTTTTTTAATTCTAGTGCAGTCTCATCTTTTGAAGCTTTTGTATTCTTCTTCGGCTTCTTCACATTTACAGAGGCCACGGCACCGTTGCTGTTATGAGTGAGGAGCTGCATAATAGTGGTGGGGTTCTGCTCGACAGGTGCAACTGGCGGAGCTGCTCCCTGCACCACGTTTGCCACGGGGGTTTGCACACTCATGTTGCCTGCTGCTGCCAGTGTGGCTGACAGTGCATTACTCTGTAAAAGGCTTGCGATCTGAGTGACGCAGTTGTAGGACGAGGAGTTGGGGGTGGGCAGTTGGAAAGTGTTGCTCTCTGGGTTTTTAACAAAGATCTGCCCGAGGCGGTTCACAAGCAGAACGTGAGGAGTAGGATCGACGTTTGGGCCGCCCACCTCTTTGACAGTAAGAATGGCGTGACCGGATAAAGCCTGGGGAGCAAGCAGCTGCGGCTCCAGAGCTGGTCTGGGCGTGGAGAAGTTGATGGAGATCGTGTGTCCAGAGGCAGTGTCCTTCTGCACTGAGGAAGAGCTGTATCCATTTAGAATAACAGGGGTGGTGGTGGTTTGAACTGCTGGTGGTGCAGCTGTGGGTGTTGACAGCTCAGACAGTGATGCAGAGGAAGAGACAATGGGGACGGCTGTGGACACCAGTGCCTGAGCGTCTGAGGAGTAAATGGTTCCAGGAACAGTTTCTACTGAGGGAAGTGTGCCTGAAGAGGCTGACAGCACTGGATCATTTTGAAGGAAGACGTTTGATAGAGGTTGCGTCAGGTCACCCACTGGGGTCAGGGTGGTGAGCTTAGTGGATGGTGATGAAAATGTTGCACACTCTTGTGAGCATGTTACTGGCTGAAGGGTAATGCTAGTCAAAGATGACTGACTGAACATCTGCATAGAATCCATCAGTCCATGAGAGGGCGCCTGTACTTCTGTAGAAATTGACGGAGGCTTGAGAAGATCCTGCAAGACACCCTTGCTATTGCCAGCAGTGTTCGCTGGTGATGGGTCGACTGGAGTAGGGGGGATTGTTGGCAGATTTACACAAGAGCTTTGGTCTGCAGAAAACTGTGAGGAAACAAATCCCTTGTTATCCACACTTAACAGATCTTTTTTTGAATCTTCTCTGGCACCGTAGGGATTAGAATCTTTGTGCTTATCACTCGACGACGCCTCCGGGACAGGACTATGGACAGCATTTGTGCAATTTGCAGTTTGGAATCCAGTGAATTTTTTGTTTTTAGGATTTTTGGCATTCTGGGCCACTTTCTGGGCGTCGTCATTTGTCACTATACTTGCATCGCTCTCTGTGCCATCATCAACGCCATCAAGCTGAGCCAGAGTTCGAGAGGAAGGAGGAGAGGGACATTTGGCAAGATCTTTAGATCTGGAATGACTGACTATTGTCCGTGAGAAGTCAAAGTAATGCTCCATGTCTTCGTCAGAGGAGGATGTGTTTCCAATGTCCTTCCTGGCTGCGGCTGCAGATCGGGGCAGACTGGCAACAAGGGTCTTCTTCTTTTTCTTCTTGTGCTGGTCTTTGGCTGCTTCCCAAAATTCCTCCTGGTCCTCACCTTCCACTACTATCTGGCCCTCACAGTTCATGGCCACGCCTTCATTCAACAGCGTTTCTTCAATCTCTAGTTCTGTCCTCATCTCTTGACCCAGGTTCAAGGTGGAATCCTTGTGGAATGAACTGTAGGAAAAATCCTTCACATCCCTCTGTGGATCTAGGTCTCTGAGTGGTGAAGTACCATTTGCTGGAGACACATCTTCAGGCTCTGGTGAAGCCAAAAAGTTGTGCGGCACCTCCACTGAGTCAGACTGACTGAGATCAAACGATAGCCGAGGTCTGGGCAAATGGATGGAGGAAGAAAAAGACAGACTTGGCGGAGGAAAGTTTCCTGCACTGTCCTGCCAGGACGACTGAGGGAAAAATGCTGAGGTATTCCCAGTGGATCGGATGGAGGAAGCACTCCTGCCTCCACCAGGACGTGATGAAGGGGAACTTAACAGGTTGTCTGGAGGCAGGGGAAACAGTGGGGAGGCGGGCAGGGAGGACTTTCCGGTACGAAGGGAGACGGGTCCAGTCAGAGGTCCCAAAGGAGGGGGCATGTGACTGCGAGGGCCTGTTGTGTGTGAATGTGAGCCGTGATGATGAGATCTTCGAGTCTCCTCAAAGTCACTAATGGTTAATATGTGGTGGGGTTTTAACCCAGCTGTTCCTGAGGAGAAAACAGCAACAGGGAAAAAACTTCAGTCTGCTGTGCTTTAAATACAGGGCTGTCAAAGAACTCAAACATTTAATTTGATAAATGAGACAAATAAATAAAACGTTAGCTATGGATGAATCACAATTTATCATAATTCTGGTTACTCGTGACATAAAGTCAAAACAATCTGTAGTGCTGTGACAGGACAAGTAACAGCAGGTATATGTATATATGTTTTTGAGATGAATCCAAATAATAGAATAATTAAACATCAAGAAAACAAGCATAACTTTTCTAACTTTTTTAAATAATGTTGGTAGATTTCATTTTTATCTCAACAAAATTAATTAATCTACAATCCCTACCAATCTATATAGCTAGGTTAAAATAAGAAATGTCACCAAATCATAAACGTGAGTTAAATGTAAATTAAAGTTTACTTTTAAATTCTAATAAATTAGATTTATTAATTTTAGTTTCACCTGGAGATGGCAGAGGTCGGGACAGTCCCCCAGCTGGTCTCCTGGTTTGGGATTTGCTGGGAAGTTTAGGTCGTGCACTGCTCTCTGCCCTGAGGGGTGGTCCGAGGACGAGGCTTTCCTCTGATAGTGGCTGAGGGTCTGTCAGAGGAGCTTCTGCGACGTCAGACACTGAAGAGTTTAAGGTTTTAAGAAGAAGAAATTACATTTCTAATCATCACAATGTAGTGAATGACTGATGCAGTGGTGGTGTGATGAACACTGACCGGGAAGTGGACGTGGACTGTGGGATATTGTGTGATTGTGGCCTTGATTTGGCAGGTCCTCAACAGGCTTCTCGGGGACAATGGGTCGGACCTCCCGGATTGTACATGTATACTTGCAGCGACGCAGAGGATTGACTGTACTCCAGTACCACCGGGAAGACCTGAGAAAGGATGAAAAGAAGAACGATGAAAAGTGTTGGATCCTTCTTTTCGAATAGTAATTCTAGTAAACAGGGAAAAAACTGGTAATAAAATTTTAAAAATGCAACTTACTGAAACCCCACAGGACACAGTTTCCCTCTGTTAGCAGAAAGTTCTGTCAGAACACCCAGCTTCTCTATCTGTAAGGAACCTGCAGAGCCACACACTCAATGTTTAATACAAGCTCTCATTCTATGAGGTGAACTCTGAAAGAAGGAAACGTGGCATCCGTCTCAAATAAAGGTGCTCACCAATCATGACATTGATCACTTCTGGTTCTAACCCTGTCAGGAACTTCCTGCGGAGGCTGATCCCTTCAAAGTCCACATACACCCTGCGATTAACCTCAAATTCTTGACCAGTCACCATCTGCTCAATAAAAGATGAACAACAATGGTCCAAAATTATAACATTATAAAGAATTATAACAGGTAATTAGGTGACGATCAAAAAAAAAAGACAACAGGAGAACGTTTTATTTGATTACCCTGCCGCTGATGAGATGCCGGTGTTTGTGGCAGTAAACCTTTTTGTCATCCTGGAACACACAGTGACGGGAGCGGGCACACATGAAGTGGTAGTTGCTTTGACAGGATGTCAGGCAGCAGCCCACTGTGGCACCTGTCTGGTTGCAACGTTCACATCTCTAATGGAGGCCATAAAAAAACATGTCTGGTTAAACAAATCTGCAACAATCGAAAACAAAAAACCCGAGAAATCTTCTGGATTTTATTCTGATTCTCTACGTTCTTTATTATAAATTAATAAACCAACCATTAAGCGCCCTCTTGTGACAGCACTGTGCACATGTAACAACGAGCCATTATCCTCTTCAAACACCTCTGCGGACCACAGACAACAGTTGACGTGTGCCCACTCATTCTGGCCCAGGAACAGCAACCTTCCTGCTTCCTGTGAACAAATGTGAATCTTGGCGTGATACAATGAAAAAAAAAAAAATTGTATTGTATTTACAAACACCCACAGCTCCTTCACTCACATTAGGTTTAAGGTCTCCATATTTTTGACACAACGAGCACTGTCTCTCATCTTCTGTTGACCATCCTGTATCCAGGTCAGCCTTTGAGAGCCGGCCTCTTTTACCTGATGAATGTCCAAACATGAACATTAAAGAACAGAACAGCATTCACTTTGACAAACCACTCACTGGTCCTCACTGGCACCTTTACCTTTGAATTTAAGTCTGACCGCTCTGCTGGTTTTGAAGTGATTCCTGCTCATTAGCTCCCCAGACATTGGAGAAAGCAAACACCCACAGCTCCTTCACTCACATTAGGTTTAAGGTCTCCATATTTTTGACACAACGAGCACTGTCTCTCATCTTCTGTTGACCATCCTGTATCCAGGTCAGCCTTTGAGAGCCGGCCTCTTTTACCTGATGAATGTCCAAACATGAACATTAAAGAACAGAACAGCATTCACTTTGACAAACCACTCACTGGTCCTCACTGGCACCTTTACCTTTGAATTTAAGTCTGACCGCTCTGCTGGTTTTGAAGTGATTCCTGCTCATTAGCTCCCCAGACATTGGAGAAAGAGCTTCCTCTTCTTTAACATCTGAGCCCTCTCTGTTGTCCTCCTGCAGCAGCCCCAGTGGAGCCCTTGATGGAAGCTCCCCCCTCTCCTTCCACTGAGCATACACGTGCTCCGTGGTTGGAGGCTGGACGGCATGAGAGAGCATCCCCCTGTAGACAAAAGACCACAGTCAGTTTAAACACTTCTCACCTGTCGGTCTGGACCAAAAGAAAAGGAAAAGAAATGACAAACTACAGCAGTCGTCCTTCTGGACAGGTTATGTACGTATAACAACCTATGTTTTTGCACATAAAGTAATGACAGCAAACCATTACTTACATGGGCAAATCTTTGGTACAAGGGTTCCACACCTTCGGATCTTGACTGTTAAACCAGTTAAACACCTCTTCAAGGAGCTGCATAGGAAAATCACACTGGTCAAATACTCGTTACATCAGAACATGACATGAGTTTGTCATTATTAAACAGAAATAGTCAGAGTCCATACATTATAAGCTGATGCGTGTGTGTCAATTTTTATATAATCCAAAAATGTAATTCAAAGTAATTCACATCACAGTGTGTAGACAGCCCCCAGTCTTTATGCACTCACTTCATAAAAACTAAAGAGTCAGAACTGTTCCTTTCAGTCTGGTCAGATCTAAATCTCAGTATTTCCAGGTAATTTAGTTACAGAAATCAGGTGAGAAAAAAAAACATTTTACTATTAAGCGGGGAGAGAAGAAAAGAGCCTCGGTAATGAACAGAATTGAAATGGTATAAAACTTAAGTCATGTACAACCTTAAGGTAGTAAGAGCGTGCCAGGGCAGTGGGTCTCTGCTCCTCTGGAAGTTCGTCTTCTTGCTCCAGCTTGTTCCGTACCACCTGCACAACATCTTCATGGAACATTTTCTAAAGAGAAAAACGAGGTCATTAACTCAAGTGCTCAGACTTCTCCTAGATCTGACATTAACGTGTCCTTAAAGATCATTTGTTCAGGCTGTTTTGTTTCTTGTGCTGACATTAACGTGTCCTTAAAGATCAAACCACATGGTGGTCAGTGTTTCAGTGGCATTTGTTCAGGCTGTTTTGTTTCTTGTGACTACAGTTCACTTTCGTACACAGTAAAAACTGATAATTTTGGTTGGCGCTTGATTGAATTGGGGAGATTTGTGAATTCAGGTGTATGTCTGGGTTTAAATGGTCTCACCAGTGAGGTGTAAAGGCCTTTGTCAAACTTCTTGCCAACAGCTCGAAGATCACAGGCTGGCTGTCCTTCTCTTCCACTGTCAGAATCAGTTAACTTTTCACACTGTAGCAAAAACAAAAGCAAAGTGATGAGTGAACGTTCATGCGTTCAACATGGAAAATAAACAATGAGATTCACATTCAACACCAGGCCTCCTACCTGTGAGCAAGTAACAAGGTGTTGAGTTAGGGTGGAGGAAAGCAGGCACGCCAACACCTTCTCCACCCCAGACCTGAGCTCGATGTACAGCAGCTCCCTCCAGGCACTGGGCTGGGTCACACTGCAGGGTCGGCACGAGTACACCACGCTCTCTGGCAGGCTGGACAGGATCTCGTAGAGCTCGTCTGAAACGATTGAAGAAGAATTTGACGACAGAGATGAATGACCTGTGTTCATCACACGACACCAATAAATATTTCAATTGGGAATGTCCTGCAGGTACAGTGGAGTAACTGGACAGCTGTGTTATGTAGCGGAGTGAATTTTATTTGCACAACTCTTTTGTTTTGTTGAGTTTAATTCATGACGGTGCATTTTGGAAGTAATGAAAAAACTCAAGAAAAAAAAAATTCTAATTTTTTTATCCCAGTGTGTGTGTATGTGTGTGAGTGTGTTTGTTTTATGATTATAATAAATGTTAAATCCCCACAGTACGACTCCTGTCAGACCCATGCTGTTTGTTCCCAGATATAATCAATAGTGTCTGAATTATGTGTTACTGTCTCTCAGCAGAAACATTTTAGTAGAGATGGATGAAAGATCTTTGCTGCATCAAACTATGAGATAGTTGGATTTTCAGTTACGATCTACAGTGGACTCCAAAATCAGTAAATATCATGTGGTCCCCAATATTAAAGCCTAAAAATTAATTGCCCCATTTTTCTTACCTGTGAGATCCTCACATTTGGCATGTACCCAGTGGTTACAGGTTCCACACTGCATCATCTGACTGTCATAGTCATTGTCTTCATAGCACTTGAAGCAAATGGGACAGTAGTTACCTGATAGGAGAAGGAGAAATGATGCTCAATGTCAGCACTGACAGGTAAAAAACATACTTCGTTTCTCGCTAGTTACTGTTTCCTGGGTGCTGAAATTCTCACCCTGGTCGTAAAGTTTGGAACAGTCTGGACAGAGGCCTTTGTCGTGGTTCCAGTCGGTGTCCCAACTCTTCCCTGGTGTGACGCCACAACTTTTACACCTGATACATGTCATACACACCTATAGATAAAAAAACACATTATACCAGGGGTAATTATGGAGAGCGGAATGATGATGATATATATTAATTATACAGTCAAAATAAAGAAAAAACAATCTGGCAGATACAAAGTAAATCAGTGTTTAAACTGGAGTAACACATTCGGATGAGAGCCAATCAGAGCCTTGTTTGTTGACTAAAAGGTGGGACCTTTGAAGTGAAATTCAATCATAGTTGATGTGTTTCCACAAGAAGAACAAACATAATACAGCATGGAAACAGGAGCAGAAAAACTCTGGTCAATTTGTGAAATATTGTGATTAAAACATGTTCAGTAGAAAAGATATACAGATATAAATTACTTTTAATGTTTTAACAAAAACTATACTATTACTATTAATATGTACATAACAAACACAAATTGTATGTTAGTCAACCAAATCTGACATAAAATAAACTAATAAATTAGAAAATATATATAAACAGCTCGACAACAGGAACAGTCTTAAGACTCATTTTTAACTCACCCAAGCTTTTCTTTTCTTGTTTTGCTTTGGATAGTTGAGTCCCAGACAGGAAGCATGATAACAGTTCTGGCATTGTTCACACTCCAACAAAGGCTGAAGTAGACAATAAATAAATCAAGGTTCACTGTCTACGTTTCAGTAACATTAATAACCAACTCTGCACTTTCAAAAACTAAAATGAATTAACGACCCAAGAGTGCGTCCCCTACCTTTGAAAGTTTGTTTCTCCTGCCACACACGTGGCAGAACTTGCAGCGACGACAGCACCAGTTTTCTTTGTTTTCCTCTGAGGGGCGCTCTGATGCTTCAAGGCAAAACTGGTGGAAGGGCTCACAGCATACTTGGCAATACAGCATCTGTAGGAGTTCAAACAATGTCCCATAAGTTTAACATTACTAAAAAAAAGCCTAGTAAAGTGACGTATAATAATAAAGCTCTAACATTTCTAGTAATAGGGCACAGAGTGTTTAAAACACTCACCTCATGTTGGCCTTTACTGGCACAAAGGAAGCAGACGTAGGGTGGCATGACTGGTGCAGAGCTCAGGACGCTCAAACCACCCATGTTCCAGACATTCTCCAACGCACAGTCCTCCTGAGAACAAGACATTAAATATGACATCACCAAGGATCTTTTTTTAAATCCTAATCAATCAACTAAATATGTAAAGTCACTATTGAAGTAGGTTTCATTTTGGAAGTAGTCTGACGTTGTTGTTAAGCCATGCCATATAAACGTGATCCAGTCACAGTTCATTCAGTTTGTTTGTCACAACAAAATGGGAATGGGATTCTACACGTAAATTGACAAGGAAACTAGTGGGCAACCCCTCTCCCCCGACAGTACCATAATCAAAATGAAGCCAAGTTCATCAAAAAGCCCATGAGTTTAACACCTAAGCTGTGTGAGGTATTAATGTTGTCTATTGATAAAAAGAGCTTTGCCCCGTGCACTGAGACACACTGAGATGTTGATCATTATGGGTACACTAATGTTAAGTCAAGTACACTGTTACTGTAGTAGTGGCGATACTTAAGTTAAGCGGCGTTCCAATTAGGAATAACAGGACAAACAACAAACAGACATGCTTTTTTTCCCATCACTGTACGTTGATGAAAATGCCAAACATTGTTGATGTAAATCAAGTAAAAGCACACAGTGAGTTCATGACCTACTTTGAAGTCAACCCTGATTTTGTGAGTAGGTTTAGAAGATTCAACTTCTCTCTGTTCAAAACCATGGGCCAATGCTGCCAGCACACTGGGAGGAGTCTGTTCCAACGGTCCCTGAGATGTCTGACCCTGAGAGACAAATTTAACATATTACCATATGAACAACTAAACACAAAGGAAAACTAGGTTTTAACCAATAACAGTCAGTAGTTCCAATGATCAACTCAGAATTACACCTCACCTTCTCTGGTTTGCGGCGCACAGGCTGTACACGGTGTGAACTGGACTTTCGATGACGTATTTCTTCATCTGAAATGTCTCCCAAGAATCCATCCAGAGACACAAAGTCTTAAATGAGACAAAGAAGCACAATCATGTTTTTAAATAAAACACAACAGGCCTGGATCTTATTATTTAATATCATAATTATGTAGGGAGGTCAAATTAAATAATTCAGCAAAAAAAAAAAAAAAAAAATCACCCCACAATCTTAATCTTTTCACAATCGTATGATGTGGTTAAAAAATATGCACGGTTACAACACAGCATGGCGAATCACATCTGAATGTACTCTGTAAATATTAGTCACTACACACCTGTCAAATAAAGTTACAGTGACTAAGCCGTGAGGGCATACAGTTCTTTTGCCCTTTACTCATCGTACCCAAGCAGCAGTTATCCACAAAAAGATTTCAAAGAAAAGGGGATGGCACAAAAAATGTTTCCAAAAAATAAAAAATTAAAAAAATTAAAAAAAAATCACAAAACACATTGTAGACAGTCAGCTGAAAAAATTAACTTGACTTCGCCTCACCCTGACTGAAGCGGTGTCCAGCACCTCTTCTCCTGGCTGGTGATGCAGAGCTGGAGGCAGCTTTGTCATCGTCCTCCGAGTCATAGTCCACCAGGTCAAAGTAGACACGAGGTTTCACGACACGCTTTGGTTGTTTCCTAACTGAGGGACTGCTGCCTTCACCCTGAAGACCAGAGGGCGAGTCTGCGGCACACTCGTTTCCTTCTTCATTACTCGAATAACCCCCGATAAAAGGCGACCGCCGCCTCTTGGATGAACCTGAACAGAGAGAGGAGGGACAAGTCTGACTCACTGCTGTTTGGACAGTGCAGCAACAACAGGTGGCTTTCACGCTCCAGTGGAGTTACCTTTGGGAGCTGCTCTTCCACTCAGCCGTCGTGCTTTCCTCTCCTCAATTTGATCACATCTCTTATAGCTTGAGAGAAGGAGAGGAAAATGTTACTTTTGAGACTAGTGTGTTCTGTTGAAAATAATTAGTGTGCATCACCAACTTACACACAACACTGCCTCTTGGTATTAGGTCCACCAAACTTTGGTTTGTCCAGGCAGTTTATGCACTTGCCACAATCCTCCTCGTGATTACAGCCTTTGCACACTCCACATCTCCGAGAACGATACCCAAAGGGTCCCAGTCCCTTCCGCTTTGCAAAACTTGAGGGTTTCTTGACCTTGGTGACCTTTGCATCAGACAATTCTGGGCTGTCTGATTCTGATGGGGATCCAACATCTACAAAAAAAATGATAGTAATTTTCGTTAACTCAGCCCTAATCCGAGACATTAGGCCCAAATCAGTTTGTCATTCCTGTCACACCTACCTTTAGTGACAGCAGATGGGGAAATGCCACTTCTCTCATGGAGAGGTAACGCGCTGAGTCTGGGAATGTCATCGGGAACCAAGGCCCGAGGCTGTCCCAGCACCACAGAAGCAGCACGGCACACATGCTTGATTCTAGGTCCTCCAGCTCTACGGAACTCCTGGCAAAGTGGGGAGATGACCTGGGGCTTGAGAAGAATCAAAAACTCATTAGTAATTATGAAGTCACGTCTTCATTCACTTTTACCAACAAGGAGATGAAATTTCGTTTTAGACCAAATTACTTGTTAATGAAATAAATACATACTTGTACTTGTGGTGGCTCAGTCTTGACTGGAACAACAGGTAGAGGCTGCATCCTCTTCTTCCTCTTCTCTCTCTTGGAGGTCATATCACGAGCCCTGGCGCCACTGGGTCCAGATAACAGCTGCAAAGTTGGTGGAAGAAAGTAAGGCATCAATACAGCCAAAGAAAAGGACCATTTGCAATTATTATACTTTTAAGTCCCATTAAGAGTTTAACTCTGATGAAGTTTTTCAAACATAAATCTCATGAAACAATGAATAATTAGTGTTTGATTACTGACAGTGTCTCTGTGTCGCCTCATCCTTACCCTGGATGACTTGAGCTGCTTCTGTTGATCAATTTTTATGAGCTGGACCTTTGCTTTCCTGAGGAGATTGAACATTCGCTTGTTTGCTCCAGTCAGACGTGCTCTTTGTGAGGGACCTTTCTCCACAGACCCAGGACAGTCTCCACTAACTGTGTCAGCGTTCTTTTCCGACCGCTGCTCACCTGCATCAAACATAAAGAAATGTCAGTGCGTGCTCTTTAAAGAAGGTAAAGCCTCGACTTAGTCATTTTACTCACCTGAGAGAGGTTTGACGCTGTGTCTCCTGGCTTGGTTCTCATCTGACGTCTGCTGAAAAAGAAAGGACTTGAAGTTCGCGGCCTTGATACAAACTTTTCTCACTACTCCAGGAGTGCCAAGGTCTTCGATCTTGAGCTTTGATTTCTCCTTCTCGGACGATGTATTTCGTTGTCTGAGGCTGATGCTTATGGCCTCGTCATCGAGACCTTCTGCTAGGTCAACAGAAAACTGTGGAGGTTTAGTTGCAGAATCCAAAACTTCGGCCGAACTTTTGCTTTTAGAGAACACTGTGTGCACTTTGTTTAGCTTTTGAAAGATCTTCATGGGAGCCGATTGTTTAGCAAATTTAGGAGAACTTTTCGTTTTCTGTGCACCTACAAGGCCAGCAGTTACTTCTGTTGGCTTATCCGTGGGTGAGGATAAGAACAGACCCTCACATTTCTCTTCCAGAGCTTTGTCCAGTGTATACTCGTCCTCGTTAGACTCTTCTGGCATGTGCCACTTGAAACTGGAGTTCTTAAAAAGAGAGCGACTTTTTTCACCCTTGGTGCGTTTTTTCTCTGAGAACAGGCTCTCGGCTATGTCCAAGTTGTCCTCCAAGTCCTGAGCTGAAAACAGATCAACATCCAGGTGAGCTTCGCTTAATAAGTCCTCATCCTCAACTGGAAGGAAGGGTGAAATCGGCCTGCTCATCACATCATCCCGTCTCTTAGCTGAACGTACTGGCACACCCAGCTGTACGCCCTTCTTTGGAGAGTTTCTTCGAGGCAGAACCGACATTCCAGCATCGTCCATAAATCTTTGTGGTGTCTTTATCACTCTGGAGGATCTGGCACTAACAACGGGCATTATGAAGTGCTTGATGTTTTTCATAAACTTTGATTTACTAGGCTGGGTTTCTACAATGTCAGTCTGGCCCCCGTCGACCAACGTGTCTGTTTCTTCCTGTTTTAAATTATCCTTTTCAAGGCCCATTTCTAGAAGTGTTGAAATAATTTTAGCCTGTGGTTCTGGACTCTTCGACCCCAAAATCTGAAGGCCTGACTCCGTCTTTTTGTACCTTTTCTGCACCCCAACGAGCTTAGAGCTCAAAGAGAGAGTGGTATCTTCCAATGATTTGGAAATGTCACTCTCCCCTTCAACAACTTTCTCAGCATCAGACAACTCAAGTGGAGCAAACTTCCCTTCTCTATTTCTGTACCTGTGCTTCTGTCGCTGCCCAATCAAACTCTTACGTCTCTTTTTTGCTTTTTTTAGTGGTTTTCTTTGAAGGCACAAAGTTTGTGGTTGACTTGCTTCACTTTCACATACAAACAGTTGTCCACCATCTATTAGCTGGATGTTTGTTTCCTCTTTAACCAGTGGCTGTATCTGCTCATCTGGCTCTAATGCAAGCTTCTGTTGTGCCTCAGACTCAACCTCCTCTGACAGACCTACGACTGCTTGTACAGGCAGAGTGTCTGTCTTTAGTGCAGACTCTGTGTTGACTGGTTCAGCTGCAGCCTCCTCAGTGTGGACAGTGGTGTCAGAGGGGACCACAGCTTTCTTCTTTTGAGTAGATTTCTTTTTACCTACTTTACTGTTTCTAGACCTTTTGGGTTTGGAAGCCACGGCCAATGTTTTGGCCTCTTCCTCCAATGCAGGCAATGTTTTGGCATCTTCATGCTGTGGTTCCACTCTATGCTCCATCGCAGGCAATGGGTTGTCCTCCTGATTCTGTGTATCCAGCTTTTCCTCCACTACAGGCGATGGAGTGGCCTCTTCAATCTCTGCACCTGCTACTTTCTCCACCACAGGAGAAGAGGTGGCCTCTTGGTTCTGTGTTTCGACGTCTTTCTCCAACACTGTCAATGTTTTGGCCTCTTCCTTCTGCATTTCCACCTTGTTCTCCACCAATGACAAGTCTTTGGCCTCTTTATGTTGTGTTTCTTCTTTTTTCTCCATCTCCACCTTACATGGAGAGATTTCTCCCGGCAGATGTGATGGGTCATCTGTTCTTAAAGAGTTTCTCTCAAGAACATCAGTGGCGACAGTATTTGTCACTGGTGAAGGCTCCGCAGGCAAAACTGGACCAGAGTTTTCAGGAAGAACTTGTGGAATCAAATCATCACTTGAAACCTGATGAGGGTCGTTAACAAGCACCTGCTGCGCAGCTCTTTCCTGCGGACTTTTTCTCAGTCTTCTTTTCTGAGTGGGCACTGGTTTATGACTGAGAGATTTGGTTTGTCTGGAGTCAAGAGTTGGTGCCCTCCTCCGTAGCCTCCTAGTTGGTGCAACTACAGTATCCAGACCTGTTGAATTATCCTCATGAGTTTCACTTGGATCTTTGAGAACATCCTCCTTTTCATGTACAGGAACAACTTGTTGAATTAAGAATGAAGGCTTGGAGCTTTTTTTACGCTTACTCGGGGAGGAGACCTTTTTAATCTGAAGAGGTGGAACCTTCCCACAATCTGCTTTTTGTATTTCAACAGGAGAAACTTCAGTTGCAGGGTCCTCTGATACTTCCAATAACGGGATGGACTTTTCTTCGACTAACACATCGCCTTTATTTTGGGGTTTACTTTCTGGTGGAGAAGGGGTTTGTAGTATTTTATCCACTTCGCCTACTATTTCAGCAATACCTGCATTAGATAAAGTGGACTGATCCACTTCGGTCACAGTTTCTTCTGCAACCTTCTCAGTGTTTTCAACACTAAGTTTTTGAACTTCTTCTTTCACCAATGTTAAAGTCCATATAAATTTTTTACGCTTTTTCTTCCGAGCTGAATCCTTCCCACTTGCTTGTGCATCATATTTTGGGTTTCTGACCCGTATTAGCTTTAAACTTGGGATCCTCATTTCATCTTTTACAGAAGAAGTGTCTGTGGATGAAGGAGTGTAGTTTTCTGAGACGGCAACCTCCTTATTTAACCGCTTGCTTTGCCTTTGTCTGGTCCTTCTCTGCACTTGTTTAAACTCCACAGTTGTAGGAACTGTTTTCGACTCCACAGGAACAGTAGCATTTTTGCTCTGACTTTCTGCTGCATGCAGACAGTCTGTTACACTGTTGGAGAGTGGGTTAGACACTCTACTGCTCCTGCGAACTGCGCGCTGATTTACTTCTGAAATTTGCTCTATTAAAACATCCCTGTGCTTTAACTTTTTTGCATTTATTTTTGGCTCTTTCGTCTGACCTTCAATGGCAGTGACACATGGATCAGTTGGCTTGCCATCTTTCAGTTTTTGGTCATTGACCAAAGCTTTTGGGCTTGGCTGGCAGACAGTCTCTGTAACCTTTGAAGCTGATCTCCCACGCCTCCTTACAGGAAGTGTCCCATCCACACTATCTTCTGTGCCAAGATCACCCTCAGGTAATTCCGCTTTTAATTTCACATGAGCACTTGAAATCTGGTTGGCCTGAATATCCTGGGACTTCTTTTTCTTTGTCGATGTTTCATGTCGTTCCTTTACAGTTTTCTTTTTGGCCACCAACTTTATAGTAATCCTTGGTGCTGCTGATGAGGCTCTGCTTTTACTGGACCGTCGATCCATAGTCTTCCTTTTTGTTGAACCTTTCTTGCCATCCTTTGCAGGCTGTGCTTCAGAAGATAAACCATCTTCCTCTGAAGCCTTAACATCTTCGACAGGATCAGGTGGGGAAGTAACTGCCTCCACTGATGGCATGTTAGATGGTAGCTTCTCACGTTGCTGTTGTTTAGATTTTGTGTTGCCAGCATCACCTAAAAAAAATAATTTTATTAGATCAAAATGCACATCCCTTTTATACTTTAAAAAAACAGGGCTCGTAATAAAAGTAGAAAATGTGTTTACCTTTTGAAGGATTTTGTCGGCCCGTCCCTCTGGGACCTCGTCTCTCAGCTTCAAACCCTCTGAAGTCATCTCCCTTAAAAATACAAAACAAATCATTAACAAAAAAAATCAATACAACATCACTCCATCAGTGGGTGTTGATCAACTGCAACAGTTAAGGAAATAACATTCCATTTACTATGAAAGCATGACATTATTAAATATACCATAATTACAAAACAAATCAAGTGAAATGAAAACATCCCTAGATCATGCAAGCTAACCTTAGCATATAGGGCTAATAATTATGTAAAATAGTTCACAAGGAAAATACTATTTTCACAGAAACATATTACCCAAACGAATTAATTACAGAAACATTTTAAAAATACAAAAACAAACAGATAGTACCTGCAATACGTATTACCGTAGGCAAAACCTGAGTGACAGAATGTAGAACAGATGACTGAACTACAAGACGTGGTGAATTGCAAAAAGCTTTATGAGAGGATTGCCGTTAAATGTATTAATGTGCATGTATAATGGTCGTCCACTTGTGACAGCGAGGGTGCAGCTTTGGAAACACCTCTGCACCACCATTTAAATGTGTACTGTATGGAAAACCAGCTAGCAGTTAGCTAGTTTCTACTCACTTCTGACTACGGGGAGGCTTTATTTCTGCGCATATTGTAAACTTTTAAAGTCTATGGTTGCAGTATACGTATTAACAATTCATTACTAAGTCCAGTTAACCATACCTGACAACACAACTCCGTTCCAATGAATGCATTTTAAACAGAAACAGAACGGTTGTTAGCAGTTAGCCTCTCCGCAGTATACGCTAGCCTTCCCGTTCTTTGTGTTCGCTGAAGTCGCTGCTGTTGCTACTCTGGCTCGCGAGCGGGCCACACATGAAACAACTGCGCTCCATGTTTACAAATTAGCGCACTCACTAACTGGCTTTAAAAGAAATAAGTCACTCTCGTGATCTCATTCAGCAAAAGTCGAATCCTTAAACTGCAACTGAACTACTAGCAATTGTGTAGAGGTGAAAGTACTCCGCTGCTTTGTCAAAGTGGCACAGTGTTGCGACTCTTCATTAAATGTCAGGCAAAAGCCACTGGGGCTAATATCAGTTAGCATGTAATGGTAGCTCAAGTTAGCTGAAGGATGTTGACATTTCTCCATGGCACCAATCAGTTACACTGCTGTGTTACAAACACTTATTAAGACATGGAACAATCACAAAAATATAAGAAAGTAAAATAAAGATACTAACTCCTGGTTCGGTTTGGCACCTCACCTCTTCACTCCCACTAGAGCTGTATCCAGCTTGCCCAAGGACCTTGTGACTCGCCTCTATTCCAAGTAAACGCAAGTGAGACTGGTCTTCGTTTAACGACAGAACCAGGTTTGCGGGCCTTGGCCCTCCGCTAGTCACATCATCGGCTTCTAAGCCTGAACGTCCGAGTTGCCATCGCTTCTCAGAGCGCAAACGACTGCGTGACGACCAGGGCCGACCGGGGAAACGGCCTCTGGCCGTAGCGGTGCCACCTTGGCCTCCTACGGCAGCCGCGGTTGCTGATCCGCATCCCGCTGCCGCCATCATTGCTTCAACAACAACACACACACACCGAGGGCTAGCAGTTCGCTGAGAGACAAGAGGGAAGGCGCCAGATGGGAGGGGGGCCACGTTGCAACATGGGAAAGTGAGTCTTTACCACGAGGCTCAAACCCTGACAGAAAGAGGGCATTTGTCGCCCACTCGTGGCACACAGTTTTTAAATACTCTACTAATTTCTAATTTCTAATTCCTGTTCATTCTAAAACAAAAAACCACAGCATCTCAAATCAGTTTGATAAATCACTTTAACTTTCAGTAGTTTTGGAACTTTGTAGGAATGTTTGTATATTATTATTATAATAATTGTAAAGTATTTGAAATGCTGACCTAAAATTGTTATACATAAACGTTTAAAAAACAATGTAAACTAATGATGACTAATTTACTTTGTTTAGTGTATTAAAATAATTAAAATAAAAAATAAAATACACTAGCAAACAATGGATTCATTTACACACACATATATAGTAGAACAGGTATTACTAATTACTTAATACTTCACATAGTATCATACATTTTTGTGTGCAGTAGTAGCAATAAACAGCTTAACATTTTCTTCAAATGAAAACAAACATAACCGTCAAACGTCAAGGTATGCGAAAGCATATATTGTAACTATTGCCATTCCAGGACACTAGATGGCAGCATATATTTCACGTGACCGTGAGCCCGCTAGTACCCAAAGACTAAAAAGAAGATTATTATTTTAACCTGAAAAAAGAATCCGGAAGTGTTGGTGTTGTTTTTATTTCGTTCCTCGTCTACATTGTTTCTTGTTTAAGAACATCGGGTAAGGTATCACAGCCAGGTTAAATATCTCCACCGTCCGTGAATATTAGAAACCGACTGAATTTACACAGCGTTTTTATTCGATCGACACGGTACTTTGTTGCACACACTCGAAATGACACCGCTAAGTTGTCGAAATGCTAACATTAGCCAGATTTTCAGTCATCTGACAATGTTAACTCCGCCAAAGGCACCACGCCACCGCCCTTTCACTGGAGCGAACGTTTTATTAAATACAACTCCGTTCCATTAATACAAACTTAATTACAGCATAGTTTGATCCTACCGGTGGTTATTTTATTGTTAATTTTTAATTGAAACTTCTTACATTTGTTCAACAGAATCCGGACAAATTCACTATGAACCTGGAACGACTGCCCAACGAGGAGAAGCTTACTCTATGCAGAAAATATTATTTAGGTGGGTATTAGATGAAAAACCGCCCAGCAAAATTGGTATAATGTAAAAATGTAGAAAAAGACACTAACTAATAACTTAGATGAGCCTTTTTACATTTTTCTGTTTTGTTGTTGTTTTCACCAGGTGGCTTTGCATTTCTCCCGTTCTTGTGGCTGGTAAACGTTGTATGGTTTTTCAAGGAAGCCTTTGTAAAACCATCCTACACTGAACAGGTCCAGATAAAAACATGTAAGTCTAATTGATGCTACATAAACATTTTTACAAAAGAGTTTAGGAAATATTTCGTATCCTGATAGTTACAAAAATCCAGTACCCTCAGAACATTTAGAGCTATGTTATATGATCAGCATGTGTAACTAATTTATGCCAATAAAGCTGTTTGTGTTTAAAAAACTTTTAGGAATTGTGTAGTAAGATAAACCAGAATGTTTCTTCAATGTCTCACATTTTTAGGCCTAAAATTCAATTGATATGAAATGGAAAAATGCATTGTGTTACCAATGTACTGACTCCCTGTAATTTTTTTTTTCTAGATGTGAAGCGGTCGGCTCTTGGCTTGTCGTTATGGGTAGCAGTACTCACAACGTGGATAACAATCTACCAGCATTTCAGAGCAGAATGGGGGGCAGTGGGAGATTACCTGTCATTTACAATTCCTCTCGGTATTCCCTGAGAAGTTTTTGATGACAGTCACTTTGGAAATTACTAATGACCCACTGCAAAGGACCAACACATTTCTTTTTCTTGATAAAATGAAAGGGTTTTTTTTTTTTTTTTTGCTTTAAGGATTTGATCTGATTAGCTGGAGCCGAAATCACTAAGGTCAAAATAACCTTGAAAATTCTTGTAAAATTCTCAGAATTCCTTTTGAGAATATTTAGTTTAAGAATAGATTTTTCATCTTGCATATTAGGCAGTTTTTATTGTCAAACATCAGATGTGCATTAAGATTTGATTTTCTTGCATAATGATGTTAATTGTTAATATTTGTGAGTGACAACATATTTGTAGTTGAATGAATAAAAATGAATACTTGTTTCGCCTCTGTGACATCTGTGTGAGCTTTCCCTCTACAGACACATTCCTAATTCTTTGCACTGTTATGACGTCCCCTAATGTTTGGACAGTCATCGGCGCCTATTGTGAGACTCAACCATTTAATCCACCCTGCTCCCCCGTGTCCTCATCGTAACATAATCAGTGCCATTTTTAGTCTCCTCTGTCAAAGCTTAAGTGACAGGTTCCATATTACCAACAGTGAAAACATGTGCTGTCCACAGTACTGCTGACTTTATCAGCGTGTGCCAGGGGTGAAGATCAGCACATACGGTGCTTTTCGTTCAGAGGGGAGTCTCGCAATAAAATTAATTTATGAGGAGTAAACCTAAGAGTCCTTTCATGGACACTGCATTGTTTTTTATATAAGGAAGAAGTTGAGCTACAGTAGGACAAGTGTAACTGATCCACTACAACAGGCTACAAGAAAAAACACTAACAGGAGTATGACTCATTAAATCAGTTCATTCGGCAGATGTATTATTCTTTAAAATTGCATTCAAATAGTGCAGTGAACTATAATCCTAATTTTCTTTTCTCCTTTAGATCTCAGATTATTGTTTTGATAAAATTAAAGCATTTTTACTGACCTAGAGATTTCACTTACAGAGCTTTTTTTGTGTGATTTTTAATTTTATTACATTCCATAATGTGTTCACAAATGTAAAAAATGATCAATTATTATCAATGTCAATCTTTCCTAAACTTCAACTCAGACACTCTCAACTGATGTCCTTTAAACTATACATACTTATATGTAAATGGATGTTTAACAGTCAGACCATAACATCTCATAAGATAAAATATAGTGCTAACATATTGCTATTTCAGATCAATATCTGGATCATCACCAATCTGTGATTTACAGCATATTTTGACTTTGGGTCTACACCAGGAGATAAATGTATTTATGACAGTCTTGTGTAGACCTACACATGGATTTATTTTAGGCCCTGGTGTTGTCACTCAGATACTGGAGTCAGGGTTTGCGTTTGCAATTTGTGTTTGACAACTTTTCAACCATGGCGAAAGTGAGTGATGTGAGAATGTGGTTGATCGGTGGCACACGTGCTCCGGCATGTGTGGCGTGTCCCTGCTGTCACTGTCTGTCTGACCTTCAGCTCAGGAGGGTCAACAACGCCATCTTTTGAACTTATTTTAGGAATGACATTCCTTAACGAGCGAACATAAGGTGCGTGGTCTGGTAAGTGACAGAGCAGCAGCGACAACAACATTGGAGTCATCAGAATAAATGGCCACATTAGTTATAATGGATGAAAAACACATTAAGTCCACAACAGCTGCATCAATGAGCAAATAATACACTCTTAGCCCACATGACACCCAAGGGTAAACGTGTGGCTGCCAGCTGCTGAAGAGCAACACAGAAACAAGGTGCCTCACCATGGATTCCAAAGTCATTATGTAACTCTGGTATAAAATACAGCAGCAGTCAACCGCGTTCAACAAACAGAGGAAGAGGAGTCTCCAGTTCTTCAGTCAGTCAGTCAGCAGCAGCTCACATCACTCAGGACTAAACGAGCTTCAAGTCAGGGAGCGTCTGTCTGTACCTTTCCTCTCTTACACTTATTTGGATCAGGGGGATAAAAAAAGAAGGTAAGTTTTCTTCTTCTTCTTCTTCGCATCAGTTGCCATTATATGATATCAACCTCCTTTTTCTCACTCACTACTAATTAGAAATGGACTTCATTCTGCCTCCTACTTTACCGGCTGATGGGATCCCATGGGAGAAGGTTTTACCACCTCTCATTCCCCGGCTGAGTGGGACTCACGGACAGTATAACTGGTCTCCCAAGTTGCTGATGCCAGAGGCTGATAACACCAGTGCTGCAGAAGTGGGTGATTTCTTTCTTTTCTTTTTTTTTTTAGGGAAAACACATCATTGAACACACAAATCTATTTGGCAATAGTTTTCCTCCCACACATTTCTTAACATAAAGTTACAACTTGAGCAATATGTCTCTTTTTTAACCAAGAGGAGAAGAGGGGAACCAGCATGCAAGGTTGTATTTTCCATAATGTCCAAACAGATCAGAGCACTGAATAAAGTCTGTATTGTTCACAGTGGTTTTTAGGATTTTCTCAGATTAAAAGGAATGAAAAAAAGAAGAATATAAATAATGGTAAAAGATTAGATTAGATAAAGATATTAAATAATATCTTATTCTGTTCTGTAAAATTCCAGTTTCCCACAAGTACTTAATTCAACTGCAACAAAATGTTTACTCAATAAAATAAATGTAAACCTAAAATATAATATCAAGCAAAATTAGAATAAGCATGTTATACAACACTGATAGGATTTCACCACTGCATTTACCACATCTAGTAAACAAACTCTCTTAGCGAAGTTTTTGTGGACTACATAAAATGATAAGCTGGGCCACATTTGACCCACTAGCCTTATTTTTGATACTTGTGCTGAATATTATCTTACCAAAAACAGATGACAACTGAGCCTTTTATTTAAAATTGCTTCCCTTATTAAGAATTGAATTTGTAGTTTTTTGGACTTGTTTTGGCAGGTGAAGTGTGACGACACTGGGTTCGTAGTTCAAGTGGATGTAAAACACTTTAACCCAGAGGACCTGGTGGTCAAAGTAGTCGGGGATTTTGTAGAAGTTCAAGGAAAGCATGAAGAAAGAAAGGTTGGTAAATCTGGAAAGGTGTCATTTGGGCTGTTTGTTGATGTTTTTGTCAAGTGATGTTTTGAGGATCAAATTATTTTTGACACACTTTTTTCATAAAAATAGCTGGTGTAGAATGAGATGAGAACACAATATTCAGAGTGGATCACATCATCCAGTATTTTAAAATCAACCAGAATTATAATAGATAATATCCAAGACACTAACATTATGTTAAAAGATCCTCAACTAGGAATCTTTTTTTTGTTTGTACTTTATTGTAGATTATATGATATTACTTAATATTTATTTATTTATATTTAATCATGTAGTTAGAGCAGTATATAAAGTATTGGATCATTCCAAAGTCTATGTCTTTCTTAAAGATAAAGTCCCAAAATCTTGTGTTGTATTTACCCTCTAAAAGGCAAACTTAGAGGGTAAATATAATAAACCATCACCATCACCTAAAACTGTGCTTCCCTCTTTGTGATGCACAGAGTGATGGAGCAGGAGTTTCCACCAGGCAGTTTAACCGTCGATATCGAATCCCAAAAGGAGTAAACAGCCTGGCTTTGGAGTCAGCCGTCTCTCCAGAAAGCATCCTGATCATATCTGCACCGTTGCTGCGTAGTGACAACTGAAGGTCCCTCATCTGATCACATGTACTCAAATCAACCACATCACAAGATGCAGCCAATGCAATGGAAACGTTAATAACCACACAGAGTCAGAAATAACTTCAGGCTCCTCCAGTCACACAGCAACAGTCAGCTTCTGCCAAAACACACATTTGTCCTCTTCCTGGCACTGTCCTGATATTCCCTGCTCCCTGAGGTTTGTATATACTCCCCTGCTTTCCCTCTTCAACCTTCCAGAATATTCCAGGGAGACAGGCTTTGTAAATATTATGTTCAAATATCAAACTGCTGCTTGTTTTTCCTGAAACCTTTGTAAAAAGCACTGTATTGTAACTGTGATAAATGATGTGAAAATGTATATCTTCAAAGTCTTTATTGTTAAAATCCCTAGAAAGTAAAAAATCTCAAATTAATTTACTAAAATAAAAAAATAAAAAATGTCATCACGTCATATGTTGTTCATCAAGAAATGCAGCTAACAGAGCCTCCACTTCACTAAAAAGAAAAAAAAAATAGAGCAGATAATAAGGGATTTGTCTTCAAATTCAAGAGTTTTGGTTCATTTGAATATTTATACATTTATATTTTACCTGATCTGTCCTTTCACCCACTTTCGTTGTTTACGAAGGACTTGCAACAGAGGGTCATCTTCAAACTCTTCTTCATCAGAATCTAAAATGAGAAAAACAAATGTAGATGAAATATCTTAAATTGACATGACCCGCAACATTCTTCAGCCAATCAGAACTTTTCTAATTATTTCTGATTTCTAAAATCATGGACATGATTGACAGCTGCTTCCAGCAGCTGCACAGTGGGAGAGAGTTTCAGGATTTGACCTAAAAAGGTATGGAATGATGAGAATTTATAGGTCAGAATATAGTCTCCACAATTATCAACAGGGCAGAGGTCGATGCTCTCTGTTCCCTGAAGCTCACCTTCGGTCTCCCGCAGCAGCTGAGAAATGACCTCAGCAGAGTTGTGCATGTCAGACTGAAGAACTGGGGTTTGTTGAGGTGTTGAGACGGTAGCTGGAGGAAGAGGAGGTGGAACAGCCGAGTCAGACAACCTTTGATCAGGAGATGGATCCACAGGAGGGTACAGCATTTCTGAAACGGCCTGTCCATGTCAGAAAACATTTACATTTGTGAATGCACTTTTTAAAGTACCATTAGAGCCAGAAAAATCCATTCATATTTTTGCAACATATGCACAAAGAATGTCATTTACCCATCACACAGGTTGCAATTTGTCACAATTAGTGACAGAATTATTTCTGTCACGATTTCTCAAAGTGGATGAGAATGTTGCAACGATTTCTCAAAGTGGATGAGAATGTTAACAGCAAAGTCCCAGTATTCATTCATAATTATTACACTTCTAACTAAATCAGTAAAGAAGAACAATTCTACCTGTGCCAATGCTTTGTGAACTGGAGAAGGCGGGGCGACTGGTTCAACACAGCTTTGAATGGATAATATCCGACTCTGCTGCAGGTCCGTCTCAGACATGACTTTTTTTGGAGGTTTTTGTTGCAAAGAACTTTTCTTTGTGGAGTTACAACCATCAGTGTGCTCTTCCTCAACGGTGTATCTGTAAAAGAAACAAAAGCCAGATCAGGCCTCTGGATTTAATTTTCGTAAAGTGTGTGCGTTTCAAAAAATACCTTGTTGCTTTCTTTGGCTTTTTGTTGCTTTTCTTCTCCTGCCCGTGGGAGCCTTTCCTCTGAGTTTTCACTTTTAAATTATTCCCAGACATTGTGTTTTGAAGAAGCCGCTCATTTTCTGCAGCTTCAGATGATGCACGTGTTGGGGAACGTTCAAAAATAGACTCCTGAGTGAAAATATTGGCTGTGTCGACAGGGGTGTGAGGCTTTTTAACGACAATATTAGAATGAATTTCATGCATTTTGTGTGAAGCGTTCTCCTGCGTGCTAGCGTGGGATAACTGGATGGAACAGGGCAGCACATCGCAGAGAAAATGCATGTGGGCAGGAACGTGGGCTAAGGGCTGATGTGGAGACACAGAGGAGTCAGAGACAACAAAGGCGGAGGAGGAAGAGGGACCAGGGTGAGATGATCCTGGGCCTCCTTTAAGAAGAGCAGAGACGTGTGGACAGGAATCTCTCTGTGAGAATTCAGGAACTTGGGAACCTCCTGGTTGCTGCAGATTAGAGGATAAAAAATATTATTTTAAAAGAGAATTATCATTAATAAATATTAGGTCTTATAAACTAAAACCATGTTAAATCTGATTTATCACGGGGCAGATGTGGATCAATCATGTTTAATCATAATTAGTTATGTGATTAATCAAGATTGGTGTGTTGATTGATTTAATTTGTGACTAACCCAAATTATGAATTATTATGAAAAAATGTGGACCCTTCAAAACACATGCTGGTTGGTAAGATGTTATTTTGAGTTGAACTGCTGAAGTGAAACGAAAACCTTAATCCTGCACATTCATTAACATGTGTTTAAATGTATATACAAACACAAAGTATGATGTTTAGTATAGCAACCTTGCAAGGATGATCCTGTTCACCACCAGGGGGATTGAACGACACAGAGGGCTGCCAGCTAAAGATGTTACCATGACGAGTGTGTTGTTGCTGGGATTGAGCCCAATCCCTCGCCTGCTCCATTTTTCTCCTTAAACGCCACTGGAACAATATGTCATCTTCAGGGAGCGTAGTCGATGCCAAATTTGGAATGACACCAGGAGGTTTTATGAGACCAGGAATCTGAGGTCTTCGCACTGGTTCATCCACGCTGACAGGAACAGAGAAATCTGAACTCCCCAGGCCCTCTGAGGTGACTGGGACAGATTCCTCACTCAGAGTTCCCTCTCTGTTTGGGGAAAGAAAGACAATTGACTTACTCTTTAATAAATTCATTCAATTATTATTATTATTATATATTTGTTATTTCCTGGTTTTCGTACCCTCTCAACAGAAGTCTTCTGGCTCTCTCTTGTAACTGTAGTATCTCTATGACTTCAGAGTCACTGTGGAAAGTGTCAGACAAAACCTGAGACAGACAGAGCAGACAGAAGGCTCAGTAAACCCAGGTTTGAGTTAGACAGTAATTGCACTCACAATAATGTGTTAATAAGTAAAACCTGATTATTTAGTTTTATTATCTTATACTTATAATTTGTTTAAAGTTAAGTTAATTACATTCAGGAGCATGATTTAAAACTTACGACTAGAGCCACAACTGTCCCAAATAAGGCAGCATAAAAACAGAGAGGTTTCTAAATGGACACGTGGTGTGATGTTGAAATGCTAATATTTATATTCTGTTCAATTTCAGCCTCTGTATACTTTTTGCAAAGTAGGGCATAGGAGAGAGACCAAGATCCATAACAACAAAGTCCTAAGAGTAGCAAAAAAAAACCATATAGAGCAGTGGGGGTTTCTTTTCTCAAATGTCAACCAACTGTATAGGCAACAACTTACATCCAAAATCTATTTAATGTTTACTGAAATTACAAATAGCCTAAATTCTTACTCCCAATGATTTTTTTTATTTTTTAAACCAGCAGTAGAATTTCAGTTTTCTTCCACAGCTTGGGGTTGGATAGTAACACAGCTATCTTATAATATCCACCCTCTCCTGGACACTCAGACTTACAGATTCCCTGGACGGTGAAGGAGATCTGTCACCATGGTGGCGGTCGGATGGATTAAAAAGGTCAGGCCTGTCGTCGTCTTCCACGGGCTGGAGAGAGTGATCTATTTAGGATGATTACAGTATAAGTATGTTGGCCAGTACAAAATGAAACTATAAACTGTTTCGGGTTCATAGCTGTACAACAAGATAAAACAAACCATTGTCATTTGTTTTAGTTGGCGTAGAAGTGGACAGCAAAGACGGAGTTGACCTCCACCAAAAAGGCAAACCCTCCTCTCCAAAGGCAGAAGCTGACTGTTGGCGCTCCTCTCGACTCTGTGGTCGACCATGGCGAAAACGCTCTATGTATCTGTGAGAACAAAAGGTCAGTGTTGGTTACATGAAGATAAAAAAAATAATAAATGTGACGGTATCTTTAATCTTAGCTTTAAATCACAATTATCTTTGCACAGTGAACGAGATGACAGTTTTAAATTAATATATAAGATGATAACAGAGGATATTCAGGTCAGAGACTGTGAGTCTACGACATACTTTGCCAGTGTTGAATTTTCCTGAACTCCTGGCTGTGAGGAAATTCCTAATTTCTCTGCCACTGCCTTCTGTGCATACGTCTGCACATCAGATGTAGTTGAAGTGTTGGCAGGAGGAGATCCATCTTCAGCGGATGGCCAGGACTCAAAAAAAACAGGCTGCTCATGTGTAGCTTTCATACTTCCCACATCTTCGCTCTGTGGTTGGTGAGGGGGTTGCTGGTTTGAACGTACAGTACTTGATGTCTTGAAGAGACAAAGAATATAATGAATCAGAAGAAAGAAAACGTATAACCGTGTACTCCAATTTATCTCAGACTTATGTATAAACCTACTGTCTTTTTCTTTTTTGTGGACAGCTTCGGGCTTGGGTAGTAGTGCGTGTTTCCTACTTTGGATGTTGACTGGAAAGGATTTTGTCTTGTGAACAGAGGACCACTGTGAAAACAACACATGATAATTAATTGGGAATTATTCCGTTAATGGGCTGTAAAATCGAATTACTAACCGCAACTGTAATGGTGCAACTTTGGTTTGTAGGTTTCAAAGAGGGTGCGATGATAAATGAATATGTATTTCTTACCTGGATTTCATCACCACTCCTTACAGCCAGTCACAGCTGGGTGATTATCCGAACACTTTGGATCCAGATTTCAGTACAATGGTTTTGTATTAAAGCACATGACGGCCAGTGGTGGTTGTTTTGGTCACGTCAAATGTATAAAGTTCCATAGATTCAGACGGCGGTACGAAATACAGTTCGCTTAAAACACGACACATAAAGTAATTGTTGTCGCTATGTCACGAACCACTTCACCAGGAAAAGTGCTAACTTCTTTAAAGGATTGCACCTACTTTACTTTTCATTAAAACAACAATAATTCGATTAAACCCAGAAGTGTGTCACTCTTTGTCAAGATCGTTACTTACGCCTAAACATCTAGCCAATAGGCACTAGCTACAATGATAGACAATACATTCAACCAATCATGCGCAGGAACATGGAAGCACTTGAGCCAATTAGGTAATAGAAAACAGGCAGCGCGCGGAAGAGGAAAGTCTACAGCGGCGAATGATTGTCCAAAACAAGCTAAGTTAGCAACGGTATTCTAGGCTAGTTATTACCGAGTTATTAGCGATTGAAACATATACAATTTGAAAAACAACTTAACTACCAGATTGGCTATATTTTGAGTCGATTCATGGGAAGCCACAGATCTGTTGTTAGATACTCGCACTACCTCTGACGGTATATAATTAAATGCCAAATGCTAAGTTCCACAGTTAGCTAGGGTTGGCGTTAAGATTAGCAAACAAAAACACATTTTATACTTACCACAGAAGAGG